TATAAGAGTTGTAGAAATGCAAATTTTTCCTTTTTAAATGTCTTGACAAGATCTTAGTGTGAATCATTACGGTCAGAACAGAATGAATTCAGATTTAAAATCCAGTTACTTTGTCGTGTAGTTTGCACTGAAATGGAAGGATCACATTCTTTATAGTTCCCTCTGTTTTACTGTATTGTTCTGTATATTACTGTATATTACTCTATTGTACTGTATAGTACATTTGAGGATACCACATCACAGTACTTCAGTTACATCCAAAGTACCAAAAAACAGAAGTGGGAGGGACATGTTCCAGTTTGTTCCTGTAAAATTAAGCACCTCATTTATGAACTGTAAAGAGAAAAGTATTTTCCAAAAACATATATATATATATTTAGGGGAAGCATCGAGTCTTCTCAAGTCACAGGCCTAAAGTCCGAGTCAAGTCCCAAGTCACTGAGCTTCAAGTCCAAGGTGAGTCCCAAGTCTTAGCCTGTTTTATCAAGTCAAGTCTCAAGTTCTAAAAATAGTGACTCAAGTCTGACCTTGAGTCCAAGTCACGACTTGCAAGTCCCCACCTCTGCTAAGTAATAGGATCGAATTTGGAGCAGAGTTCCAAATGAGGAATAGGAAATGATTTATGGACAAATTAACAAAATAAAAACACCTGGGTCAATTGTCGTGGGTTAATATGAACATTTTAAGACCAAAATGATGAGCCTGACAGCAGCAGTAACAGAGAGAGGGGCGACGCTTTCGCACTACAAAGTGAATTGGAGCTGAAGTCGATGGAGCCGGAAGAGCGTCCATGCTCACAAGGCTACTGTAAAAAGTAGCCTTCTTATCAGAACTATAAGAAGTAAAAGTCAAACTAGTTAAAATTACAAGTTCTAACATTTTGTCACCTTCAAATGACCTACAAAACATGAATGGAAAACGAGCTGCTCTAGTTACAGTGATCGTCACAAATCGTAAACCTACTTCGTTTGATGAAGACAGTAGTTTTCCCCTAAACTTTTCTGTGATATTTGACTGGAGTTTTCACCTTGTTCTGGGCGCCGTGGTAACAGCAGAGTAAGTAGGTTAGACCCCAGGGGCCCCAGAGTCACTGTCTGCTCTGGAAGTGCCAAAGAATTATGACAGGACTGCAACATCTGCTGCATCTGAACCTCTGACAGTGATGGATGGCCAGGTGCAGGAGAGAGAGAGAGGGAGAGGGGGGAATGGAGGAGGGAGAGGGAGAGAGAAAGAGAGAGAGGAGAGGGGGAGAGAGAGGAGAGAGGAGAGGGGGAGAGGGAGAGAGAGAGAGAGAAAGGAAGAGAGAGGGTAAGAGAGAGGGAAAGGGAGGGAGAGGAGAGAGAGGAGAGGGGGAGAGAGAGGAGAGAGGAAGAGAGAGGGTAAGAGGGAGAGAGAGGGAAAGGGAGGGAGAGGAGAGAGAGGAGAGAGGAGAGGGGGAGAGGGAGAGAGAGAGAGAGAAAGGAAGAGAGAGGGTAAGAGAGAGGAAAGAGGGAGAGGAGAGAGAGGAGAGGGGGAGAGAGAGGAGAGAGGGAGAGAGGGTAAGAGGGAGAGAGAGGGAAAGGGAGGGAAAGAAGGAGAGAAAGAGATGGAAAGAGGGAGGGAGAGAGAGAAGAGAGGGAAAGAGGGAGGGAGAGGGGAGAGAGAGGAGAGAGAGGAGAGGGGAGAGAGAGGAAGAGAGAGGGTAAGAGGGATAGAGAGAGGGAAAGGAGGAGAGAAAGAGAGGGAAAGAGGAGGGAGAGGGGGGAGAGAGAGGAGCGACAGAGAGGGAAAGAGGGAGGGAGAGGGGGAGAGAGGAGCGACAGAGAGGGAAAGAGGGAGGAGAGGAGGAGAGAGAGGAGCGAGAGAGAGGGAAAGAGGGAGGGGGTGAGAGGGAGGAAGAGGGGAAGAGAGGGAGAGAGAAAGAAGAGAGGGGGAGAGGGTAGGAGGGTGAAAGAGAGAGGGTGAAAGAGGGACAGAGAGGTAGAGAGAGCGGGAAAGTAGGGGGGGCGAGTGAGGGAGAGAGAGACAGAAAGAAAGAGGGAGAGAGTTGTAGAGAAAGAGAAGGGTGGGGCAGAAGAGGGCGAGAGCAAGAGAGAGATAGAGTGGGGTGGTTATGGGGTGAGAACGAAGGAAGTGATAGACAGAGAGAGAGTGAGAGAGGGGAAGAGAGAGAGAGAGGAGGTGAAAAAGGGAGAGGCAGGTGAAGAAGTGGAGTTAGCATGCACACTCAGCCTGTGCATCATACACATTCAAAGCAGAGGTTTAAATAAGAAATGCTGCTCACATCTGTGCTGCTGGATTATTATTAATAATTCCCTGTGAGGCTCATGTTGTGAAAAGCACAGGTCTGTTTGGTTTAGGTAAAGGTGGTGGAGTAGCCAAAACTTTACTCAAGTAACAGTGACACTACTTTGAAATAGTATAAATCCAGTAGAAGTACAAAGTAGTGGTGCAAGACTCAAGTAAGAGTAAAAAAGTAACTACCAACCAAGTCAGAGTAGTTGCAGGATTTCAAATATAGCACAGGTATATCCAAAGAATTGATCACAAACAGAGATCTACATAAAATCTGAAGGTCATGTGGAGGAACCTCAAATGTTCTAATCATGTAAAAAGGCCAACATGTCTCTGTATGACTTAAAGAAAAGTAACTTTAGTACAAAATGGTATCGTTAGTTCATACAAAATATTACTCAAGCAAGGGAGTATGATGCAAAAAAAGTACTCAGAAGTAAAAAACAAAAACAAAACAAAACAAAAAACGCTGATAAGCAAACTAAATAGCAGTGGTGTAGTGCAGAGAGTGGGTCTGTCACTGTTCTGTGTTCTGTTTCTATTATGTATGTCTGAATGTTTATTGTGCTGCAGTTGTTTGTACTTGAGCCCCATTCCTTTATCGTCTGGGCCAGTATAGACACTATACTGTACTTTATACACTGTACTTAATGTTTATTTTATTTGTTTATTTGTCTCCTTTTACAATTTGAACCAAGTTCTGTCACTTTATCTTTAGGCAAGACACTTCATCCAGCTTGTGACCTCGATTGGTGTTAGTGGGATTGGCTGACTCTGTAGATTTGCAGCCTTGTTTCTATCAGTCTGCCCCAGGGCAGCTGTGGATATAAAAGTATGTCACCTCCAGTGAGTGTGGAGTGAATGAATAATGACCACAGTGTGGCACTTTGAGAGGCTTTGTGGAGCCTTGTAAAGTATAAAGCAATATTATTATTATTATCATGATAAAATTACAATATACTGGATGTTGTAATTTTGCATTTCCTCCAAACATCATTAAACATTATGGACGATACACTGCCCACCTTTCACATGATTTACAACGCTCCAGCTCAGAGTGTTGTTTATGAAGCCTGCATGTTTAAACCACATGAACACATCAGTGCAGTAACTGCTGCTGTTCTGAATGATAAAGATTAATGATGCGTTTATCTCCTGATGACACGAGCCGTGAGGCCTCCATTATACACACACATATTTATTCTGCAGATGTCAGACTCCAGTCTGATGAGATCACTGAAGAGTGAGGAACGCAGCGCCACTGAGCTGTCTGGAATATCAACACTGCACACACATATTTGGAATCACAACACATTACACACACTTCATACGAGTCTATATGTAGTTGATATATTATATATATATAGATTTATATATGAATACCCAGCAGCTGATCATCAACATACCCTCTGGGTGTGATGCTAACTGAAGGTACTACTCACTCTGACTTATTTAATCAATTATAATTATAATTATTAATTATAGTATGCGCAGTTCACTGTATCTGAAAGCAATAACCACGCAACTTTTAAAAAAACTTTATTTTATCATAGTGTTACTATTCATGGTTCAATGTTACACCACATCACTGACACAGATTTCTAGTTTGTGAGTTTGGGTCATTTACAATGGCAATAAATAAAACCTATTTCTGATTTTAAAGTCATTTTACCTGACACTGCTGTACCTGTGTGAGTCAGTGTTGTGATTTGAAATGTACCTACATAGACACACACAGTACTAAACTCAGGATGTTTGTATGAGCGAGCTTGTCTGAACACTTGACAGCTCGAGGCCACAGATGTCATTATTGAAATCGAAGAATACATTTCCTTGTGATTAAGTCATATCTTAGTGTATTTATGATATTTAATGTCTCTGTTATGTAGATATAAAACGGAGGCAGATGAGTGGATCACGCAAAGACAAGTTGGGGCCAAACTCTTATGTGTTTGGACAGAGTATGTCACATTACTGTCAGATACATCACTACTGTAGATTCCAAGGCTATGGTAAGGTATTATTTGTTTAATAGGCCTGAATGATGTATAAGACAAGACGTGCATGAAGTTATAGTTGTAACTTGTGCATCTAATGGTTTAAAAACTGCAATATAATCAGAACTGAATGCCAATCTTAAGAGAGAGCCCTTTTGGGAAAGCTGGTTTTATTTGTAAGATCTGACAACCCACGACAGGAGCTGATTCTGCTTTCTGATTGGATAATTGGCTTATTGGACTAAAACACAAAACATAAACAACTTTTACACCCGGCTAACTTTTCTTTTTTTTTTACTTAAAGGTGCACTATGTAACTTTTTGGTTGGGGGTCTATCACTTTCTTATTTGTAAACAGCTCTACTTTACTTTTATTCGATTACATGTGGTTTTATTGCTTATAAATATCTAGAAAAACATGCATTCTAACTGTGAGCGGGGTTGCCTCTCCACAGATCTGACCTGTAATTTGCTCTGGTCGCCATGAAGATAGGAACGTTTAAAACCGTACTGTGAAACATTCTAGACAAAGCAATAACATTTCCATCGAGAAAAGCAATTCATGGACCCTCCACCAGAAAATTTACACAATGCACCTTTAAAAAAAAATCTCCTCTTTTATGATGTGAAAGCAGGCACAAAAAAACGTAACCCGCAACTCATAAAACAACTTCCCAAAGTGACTATAAAGAAGCATACCTGGCAACTATGGTACCTATGTGATATTCTTTAACTGCTGAGCTGCCCCTCCCTGTTCTCCTCCTCCTCTGGGTCTCTAGGTACTGGACTGTGGCTGTTGGAGGGGGCGGGGCTGGGGGCGGGGCTAGGGGCGAGGGGGGTCCTGCGCCCGGGGGGGATGGGGGGCAGGACGGTCTTCATGTTGGAGCCGGGGCGTCTCTCGGAGGTGACGGGGTCGGTGCCAGGATGTGGAGGCTCTGGACTGGAGGACAGGTCTGTGATAAGAACAGGCAAAAACAGGGCTCATATTACACTGTTTTCTGATTTTTTTATAATGTTTCCTCATCAAAAACAAACCTGGAGTTGTGTTTTGTTCCACCTTGTGATGTCATGTGGTATTACGGGAAGTTCTCCATTGTGTTTATAAACTCCACACACCTTCACTAGAATAATTTGGATCATTTTAGCTCTGGAATCCCAAATTTCTTATGAACAAAGGGTAAAAGGAAGCGTTTAACTTGAAAACTACCACTAAATGACATCACAAGGTGGAACAGAGCATTTTGAGCTTTGGAGATGACAGACTAATGATAAAGGATTACTCAAACGTGTGAATGAAACAAAACACAACACCGGATACGTTTGTGATGAAGTAATGACAGTCTAACATGTCTTAAAGCTCACAGGAGTCCATGTTGTGTAATATAGGAACTTTAATATATCCAGGAGTCACATTTAGGAAAGTCATAAAATCAAATGATAGTAATTATAGTGGTTTCCAGAAGAGGCGTGTACAGATGACAGCCTGATGCCTTGATTGGGGTTCTAACCCGTTCATTTCAGGCAGTGAAATAAAAACAGGCCTTTGCCCTGTAAAAGCAGGAGTGAGTTATAGATGTTTATATGTGTGTTCAAATGTATAGCACAGTCAGGCAGCAAGCACTATTTTTTTATATTGACACAAAGCTGGATTTGTTTTATGATGCAAAACTAAACATGTATTAAGTTAACTATTGTGAATCTGTGTATCATTTGTTCCGTGGATAATAAAAAATGGATAACGATTCGTTTTTTCAGTTTTCGATTTTGTGTTTAAATGAATAATGGAAAAAATGGATAACGCCTGTTTCCTGTTTCTATGAATTAAATTGTGATGCGACAACCAGGACTGAACCAGGACCAAGAGTCAGAACAGGCCCAGAGGTGCACCTGCTTCGGGTGATCAGGACTGAGACCAGGCCCAGACCGGGACCAGGGCCAGGACTGAGACCGGGACTGAGACTGGGACCAGACCAGGACCAGACCAGGACTGACATTGGACTGAGATTGGGACTGAGATCAGGATCTGACCGGGACCAGACTGGGACTGAGACTGGGACCAGACAGAACTGAGACCAGGACTGAGACCGGGACCAGACTGGGACCAGATTGGGACCAGACCAAGACTGAGACCGGGACCAGAGCAGGGCTGAGACCGGGACCTGGTTTAGGCCTGAAGCAGTCCTGGTTTAGTCCTGATTCAGCCCTGGTTTAGTCCTGGTGTAGCCCTGTTTTAGTCCTGGGATCAGTCCTGGTTCAGTCCTGGTTCAGTCCTGGTTCAGTCCTGGTTCAGTCAAGGTCTGGTCCCGGTCTCAGTCCTGGTCTCAGTTCTGATCACCTGACAGTCTACGTGGGTGCACCTCCGGGCCTGTACCGATACTCGGTCCTGTTTTAGTCCGTATGCAGCATCTCAGTTTAAGTCATGGAAACAGGAAACGGCCTTTATCCGTTTTTTCCATTATTAATTTAAACACAAAATCAAAAACTTAAAAAAAAAAAAAAATCGTTATCTGTTTTTTCATTTTGGTTTTGGGGACAAATAATGAAGAAAATAGTTATTTTTTTTCTGTTTCTTATTTTTGGTTTTATTTTGAAAAACGAATGAACGAATGATACACAGATTATTGTGGCCCACAGTTTGTTCAGTGTAACATTTAATCTAACAAACAAAAATATCTTTAAAGTCCCTGTATCAGCTCTTGACGTTAAAACAAGTCAGCTGCGTTCTGTCTGCATCTAATTATAAAGTGTTAGAGATTCAGGAAGTGCGCTGTTAGTATGCGAGTTAGCCGCTCTGCTCTTGAGTTGTGAAAAGTGCTTATAAACTCATTGTGGTGAATAATTAGCTTCAGACCACTGTAAACTGTTTAAAATGAACTTTTTTCACCTTTTTTTAAATTAAAATACTTACATTTTTGACCTTTTGACCCTTTAAAATGTACTGTTTTTACTGAAAGACCTTATAAACATGTACAGGTACCATGAACTGGACAAAAATCTTCAAATAACCCAACCAATAACATTAATATTGACAATAATGGTCGTAGAACGGTGAGAATAGAGCTGTAAAATCCACAGCACTCCTGTCAAAATGCCCTGTCGGCTCTGGCTCCTCCTGTCCCAGCCCTCTCCTCTTCCTCTCTTGTTTCTCTCTTGTTTCCCTTCTGTTTCTCTTCTGTTTCCCTCCGGTTGGTCTAAAAATATCAGCACAAACAGTTTAGTACCTTTGCTGGTCTCCAGAGCGGGTCCCTGCACAGAGCTGTCGACAGGCTCCAACGCTGACAGGGCCCCCCCCGCCGAACTGGACACTGACAGGACCGAGCTGCACCGGGACTCATCTGAACTACTGCTGTAACAACAAGAGGGAGAACAAGAGAGAGATGAGAAGAGAGGGAGAGCGGAGAGAAGGAGAGAGAGAGAGATTTATATATAAATAGAGAGAAAGGAGCAAGAACAAGAGAGATGAGAGAGAGAGGGAGAGGTAAAAAGAGAGAAAGAGAGGAGAAAGACAAGAGGGACGGCTGCTAACAAGTGAACAAAAGAGATGTGAGAGAGAGGAGAAGAGAGAGGGGGGAGAGAAGGAGAAAGAGAGAGATGAGGGAGGGGGAATGGCGAGAGACCAAAGAAAGAGAAAAGAAAAGCAGGAGAGAAAGAAGAGAGAGAAGGAGAGAGATGAACTGATGATAAAGATAGATAGCTAGAGATAGACAGATAGAGAGAGAGAGAGAGCTAGAGAGAGAGATAGAGGGATATGTGAGACAGCAAAAGAGTGAGAGAAAGAAGAGGAGGAGAGAGAGAGATGAACTGATGATAGATAGATAGATAGATAGATAGAGATAGAGAGATAGAAAGAGACAGTGAGACAGACAGAGAGATAGAGAGAGAGAGAAAGAGAGAGAGATAGATAGATAGAGATAGAGCGAGAAAGAGAGATAGAGAGAGATAGAGCAAGAGAGACAGACAGAGAGATAGACAGATATATATATATATATATAGAGAGAGAGAGAGACAGACAGAGAGATAGATAGAGATAGAAAGAGACAAGAGAGACAGACAGAGAGATAGATAGAGAGAGAGAGAGATGTGAGAGAGTGAGAGGAAGAAGAGAGAGAGAGAGGGGATGCTGGTAAAAAGGGAAATAAGAAAAGATATAAGACAGAAAGAGGGGGAGAAAGAGAAGGAAAGAGAAAGATAGAGACAGGAGGAGTCAGAGAGAGAGAGAAATGAGAGAGAGGAAGAGGGGAACAGAGTGTACAGAAAGAGGAGAAGAGTGAGAAGAAGTGATGGGAAAAGGAAGGAAGAAAGAAAGAGGGTGAGGTGCAGAGACAGAGAGAAAACGAGAGAAAAGAGAGGAGGAAAGAGAAGTGAGATGGAGGTCAAGAGGGAGAGAAGTAAGGAAGGAGAGAGAGAAAGGGTCTGCAGGTAACACACGCAAAAGAGACATAAAAGATGAAGAGAGAGGAAATAAACACACGGGGCTGTAGAGAGGACACGAGCGGTACTGACTGTGAACCAGGACTGAGAATAAACCAGGCCCAGAGACACAAGACAAAACACAACACTAAAGTTTACTGAAAACTACCAGACGCTGCACTTTTAGTTTTCCAAATGTCATGGTAAAAAGTGGAAAATATAAAAGACAATTGACCTCCGAGCGGCACAGTGAGGCGAAGGCTTGAATAGGTAAAATGTGAAGGAGAAGCTCGGTACAAATGTGATAAATGACCCGAAGTCTGATACAAATGACCCTTTAAAACTAGAATGTCTGGTCAAATTTGGCTAGACTCACAACACAGCAAGAAATCCTCCAGCTAAATTAGTCCTGACCAAGACTAGCTCAAAAATCTGGAGATGTTTTTTTTTTTTCTAAACAAATTTCCCTACAGGAGGAGATATAGGAGATGTGTGTAACTAGGAAAAGGCCCCAAACTTAAACAATTTCATGTGCAATGGTCTATTTTGCCTATTTAAAATTCTACAGCGATTAAAAGTTACACATATTTGTAAACGTTGCATGAGTAGTAACCTGCTTGTTTCTATCGTTCTGCATGGAATGTTCCACAGTATGACATTAAACAGCTCTCCCTTAGTGTGGTGATTGGAGTGTCAGTCATTCTCATGTGTTTTGGAAATGTATTAAAATTAAATCCTTTGGGGAAAATATTGCAATTGTAATAGAAGAGGTATTTGGCTATAAAATACCCAATGACCCACAGATTATGGACTTGGGCTTGTTGCATGAAAACAATATTTGAACTGAAGACTTCTATTTGTTTAAAGTGATAATCTTGGCTCGCAAGAAAGTAATAACAAGGACTTGGCTGATGGATGACCCTTTGAAAGTGCAACAATGGATAGATATATTGGAGGAAATTTATGTGACGGAAAACATAACTTATTATTTGAGACTTTATATGATGATGATGGTCTGAACAGAAGATGCAAAATTGGTGTTGCGTCTTCACTTTTTATCCCGCCTTTAGACAAGCATTTTCGGGAGAAGATCTGCCTGCAAAAGTGTGTGGACATACGGAAGCTTTCACGCCACGCATCAGTTATTCCTTCCACAAAGTTTTCCCACCATCGGCTGCTTCTCCAGGTCTCGTCCATCGCCGTCTGACTCGCCTGCGACGAACTGGGGCATCCAGAATTTGACAGAGGTGATTGCAGATCCTTCTCTGTTCACTAATAGTATCTCTGCAGATTCTGTACATTTGTTGGGAGCCTCCTGTAAGTTTATTAGAGCTGCCAGAGAAGCTTGAGGCTTGACGCATGGAAATGATCCAACGTGTTAGTTTCTATGTTTCTGTATGTATGTGATGAAAACACATACATGACCTGAGCAGATCTGAAGGGTGGTTTCAGATTTTTGCATTTTTAAGCCCCCAAAACACTGTCACCGTCTAAACAAAAGTCACTTCCAATAAAATATTTTGTCGTTTTTACCCACAAGCGTTCTCGTGTAAACAGACCCTGAAAGCTGGTAAATTTGAGAAGCGATGGTCAAAATGTCATTTTATTTTTCTATTGATATTTTAGTTTTCTATTTTTTTGTAAAACCCCACAGATTTTTTCTTTTATGTACATTTGTTAAAATTTTGAAAAAAACATGAATATAAAGTAAAAAAAAAAAAAAAAACAGCTCTCCCTTACATTTATTCAATTACAGGTGGTTTTATAACTCAAAAATACCTAGAAAAACAGGCATTCTGACTGTGAGCGTGGTTGCATCTCCACAGATCTGAACTGTAACTTGGTCTGGTTTGGTCTCCATGAAGATAGAAAGGTTTAGTGCCATACTGTGATACATTCCAACCCAAGCAATTACGTCTCCATGGAGAAAAACATTTGACGGACCCTTCGCCAGAAAGTTACACCATGCATGCTTTAATTATTGATCTTAAACATAAACTGTGCCAAAACAACTACATTTGAGACTCTGCCGATCTCAACTTTAAACTTAGGCTTTGTCGAGAATATAATGAAATAATACAAACCCAACAATCTGTCATCGGTTGTAGCTACAAAAAAAAAGCAAAAAAATGACTTGGAGATTAAGATCTGCGTGTCTAGACAGATGAAAACATATAAGTCCAAGAAATACCTCTACATCAGGAGCCCTGTCTAAACCTGGACACATGCACAGGTTTAGGCAGATCCAACTGACGAACAGGTAGAGAGACGCCTGTGATTCTTTATGGAAATACTGCAGAGGTGAGTAATGCTACTATTAAGTACTGCATATTGTAAATTGCAGGCTTTAACAAAACTCGAACATTTTTCAACAAATTTGTCTTCCCGCAATGATTCATGAACGCAATAAGGCACGCATTAATTTTGACTACAGCCCAATGTATACTAAATGTCAGCTCCTGGGAAAATAAAATGAGAGGAATTGTTGCTAATTTGTACAGGGAAGCGAAAAATGAATGAATCACGCTTGCCGTAGCTGTAAATGACTGATTAAAGGCGTATTTGGAGCCAAGCTGTGCATGTAAACAAAATTAAACGCCCCACAATGAAGAGTAACAGGGTAATTTATGAATGGGTTTACAGAGCACGAATGGTGCTTTTACAACTGCACCCACATGATTCTGCTGCAGTTTAATACAAATATAAAGCTCAGATTTCTGATTCAAACAGAAGTAACCAAAGTTTTCGGCAAATTAATCTTCCCAGTAGAGGAGTTTAAAAGTGGAACTCAACTCTTTACTTTAGGGAGGGAATATATGAGTATTTTGTGATTCAGTTATGATACGGAGGACTGCAATTTCATTTAATCTAACAGTATTTTTGGTTTGATGTTGAATGAAATTAAAGCAGAGCTATTATGCAAAATCGACTTCTCAGAGCTTATAACCATGTTATCATTGAAGGTCTAACCAACACACAGTTATATGAACAGTGTTACTTTAAAGAAATGAAAGTCTTGGGTTTACTTTATTAAAGGTGCATTATGTAACTTTTCTGGTGGAGGGTCCTTCACCTAGCCTGATTCATCAGCTGGTTTCACTTTGTGGAAACTGTTTGAAGCAGCATTACGATTCGTTCGCTCGACAGTAGGCTGGTACTTTTTTTAGTTCAACCAATCGCTGCTATATGGTCGTGACATGTGTAATGCACCAAATCCCGTAGGAAGAAGGGCAATAACATCCTTCCCCTTAATAAAATTAACCAAATATTCTCTTTGTTCCAGATTTAAATCCTCAATATTGGGAATCGTTGCCAACACAGAATGTATGTCTTCGTCTACATCCATCTCAATCGTGTTGTTTACTGTTGTGCTGTACCACAAAAGGACCCAGACAGGCGCTTGATTTTGACATCATGGCTTCACAGCTCTTCACTGATTGGCTGGTGTGCGGTCTACAACTTCCAGGGTTCTTGCAAACCGTCTAGTGTATTCCGATTCCTGACCTAGTCGCTGGAGAGAAATGAAACTGAGTGGAGGCACTAGGTAGCTGGCTATCCTTCACCTGCTTCTAGCCACATATACTGAATGTTACAAAATCAGATGTTCTTGTGGGTTAGGTGATCATACCCAGGGACAGTGTGAGGGCAGTGCTTGAGGGGGCACTAGCTTTTCCTGGAATGGCCAATGCACCCCGAGAGCTCCCTCAAAGATTTTTGCCCTGTTTTCATGGGACATTTAATCTTCACAAAAATTCTAATTCAAATGGCAAACATTAAGGATGTAATGATGTATCTCACAGTACGATATTTATTGTGATATTTTGTGGAGGCTAACAAAACACTACTTTTTCTTCTTCGAACACCTTGACGAGACTTAATCCAAAAAACAAAGATTTAAAAGTGCTTAGAACAGTTATTTCTTCATGTAGTCTGCACTGAAATGAAGCAAAGGATCATGGTCCATGTAGTTCCCTCTATTTTTTTAGCTATTGATGCAAAGAGACTTGTGATGAGCTACTATATCATGGTGAGACCTTTGACGATACGATATCAGGATATTTCTGTTATTGTTACATCCCGAGAAACTATAGTGTTCAAAATGAGACTATAATGAAAAAAATAATTCCATATTAGGTTTTATAAATCACTCCAGGGGCTAACTATAAACTGTGAAGCGAACATGGGGGGTGAGGGTGCTCATTGTTAAAAGGCTATATATTCTCATTAAGTTAAGAAGAATTTAGCACCCCCTTAGCTCCTAAGCAAAAATCTCTAGAGCTATACCCAACCATATCTGGGGGAAAACTGACTTGTAAGTATGAGCCAACTAAATAACTATAATTTCCTTAATTCTCTATTTTAATGATGACAGAGCAACTGAATACCTTGCCATTTCTGCACACAGGCTGAAGGCAAAACTAAAGTGAAGCCAAGTGAGAGGCCATTTCTCTAAACTGGTGCATAATATAAAAATTAATATTGGCTACTCTGAAATACAGTATAGTGTAGGTAAAAGTCCACAGGCAAAAAATCGTCAAAAAGGAGAAACAAAATAAGTTACAGAGTTCTGCTTTAAATGCAAAAAGGCCAACATTTCCATATTTCATTTCATCTGCCTCTCATAGTCTCTGCTCATTTGTTCCTGCAGTGTGAATGTGCGAGTGTGAGTGTGTTTGTGTGTTTTGTGTGTGTGTGTGTGTGTGTGTGCGTGCGTGGGTGGCTGTATATACCTGCTATCTCCACTTAAGTGCATGCTCGGGTTGTGATTCTGCAGGGATGATGCTCCTGTCTCCGTGGAGCTGAGGTAAACAAAAAACAGCGCCAGATTCAATAATTCTGCCTCAGCGGCGTAAATCACATGGAAAGGCAATTTCACACACTTATAAACACACAGCCACCAGCAAAACACAAATGTATGTCTCAGTATTTGCTCTTTTTGTTTTAAGTGTTTTCTATGTCATTGTAATTAGAGTGAAAACTTTAAGTGTAGCGTGTAATACATGGTAATATAGTTGTTATAGCACTAGAGGTAAAGAGGTTGTGGGTTTGATTTATGAGTTTGGATGTTATCGTTTCTTTTTTTCAGTGTTGCCTTAGTTTAAAACTGCACTGTGCTTTTCTTTACGGAGATGTTATTGCTTTGTCTGGAATGTTTCACAGTGGTAGGTAATAAACCTTTCTATCTTCATGGAGACCAAACCAGACCAAGTTACAGGTCAGATCTGTGGAGAAGCGACCTTTTTCTAGGTGTTTTTGAGCTATAAAACCACCTGTAACTGAATAAATTTAAGTTAGAGCTGTTTAATGTCATACTGCAGAACATTCCAGGCAGAGCGATGACATCTCCATAGAAACAAACAGGTGACGGACCGCCAACCAAAAAGTTACACAGTGCAACATTAAGTCAAGCTAAAAGTTCACTAGTTTATTTTATGACTTTGCTTTTTAGAAAGTTTACACTTTATATTGACATTTTACAGCTGATGTCTTCAATAGTCCCTGGGGGTGTGAGTGTAACTGAAGACACTGCTCTGTCTGAAACTCTGTAACTCAAATTAGATTTTAATCTGAGCTTAGTTTTAATACAATCTGACCATAAAAAACTGACTTTGCTGAAACTGTTTGTTGAAAATCAAACACCTAAACAGGACCATGAACGCTCATATTGGTCACTGGCTCCTGAAAGTGTGCTATTTAAACCCATTTTGTATTTTTTCTTGACACAATCGTAAAACTTTTTGTCTGTGTTTGTTAATGTGTGCGTTGTGTCTCCACAGTAACTGCTGAACATCCTGCCAATAAAGATGTAGATGTAGAACACCCCCAGAGTGACGTCACTGCAAATGATCAATACTACCCTGTACAATAAAGCTCAAAAGGTTTACATATTCAATCTTTTTTACCATATGACTTATATACCTTTAATGCTCTAGTCCCTGTAAGAGCTGTGTCAGGACTGAAGAAGCTACTTGAGTGAAAGACAACATGTATTCACTCTATTAAACTTTAGTCCAATGAAGTTCATTTGGTCTTTCAATAATTTATGAGGTATTTCAGGTATGAAAATAAACTCTTGGTCTGAAAAAAGAACCTAATGAGATCTATTAAACTTTGTTCAGTTAACATAATTTAACCATGGTTTTCCAGTTGAATATTTACTATGCACTGTTGTTGGGACCCACTACCATGGATCTATTCAAATCAACTGGATAAGGTGTTGCTGCTTGTAGGTGCCTCCAGTTGGCGTAGTGAACACTCACTTTTATTTGACCAAAAAAAAAAAAAAAAAACATGGGCCAAGAAAGGATTTTTTTCATAGAGCGCAATGTAATCACAGATTGCTCATGTTCAGCTCACAGGGCACCTACAACTTTCAAAAATGTTGGATTTTGTGGCGATTTTTACCTTTTTTTTAGATGATAAACTTTTTCTCAGCTCAAAATTCTTCAACTGTCTTAAAAAATGCTTTATGATCATTAGCTCCGGCTCCGCTCTAGCTCCTGTGTGCCTGTGGGAGAAAAGAGCACTACTGCACATGCTCAAACGGCCCGGAGCTACAGGAAGTACCTCCTCGAGACTAAAGGCAAATCTGGAGTCATGCACCGTTGAGCTCGGCCCACTGACTTGAATGTGCAGCCATTTTGAAACCCCGGGATATGCCCACTACCTGTAACGTGCTGAAGACGACTGAATGAACAATTCATTTGAACTACAACAATCACACGGCTGGGGCCTCTTATTATTTGCAAACTGTTAAATGACATAATTTCTGCACCTGCCACTTCACCAACAAGCTCGGACAATCACCGAGAGTGGACCAAGGGAATAATTAGATTAAAGTGGAGGGATTATAAGTGATTCGGCCTCTTAGATTAAACAGCAGAGAGGTGGAGAGTTCGGGGGGTTATTATTATGATTATTGTGATGGACCTTCTGAAGAGATGACTGAAGACGGCTGGACTCTTCCCCACGATGGCCTCTCTCAGCAAACGCTCACGTCTCCTCAAAGAAACGAGCTCCTGCACAGAGAGAAAGAGAGTGAGAGAGAATGAACGAGAGAGGGAAGTAAGGAGAAAAGAGGTAGATAGAGAAAGACTGAGGGAGAGAGACAGAATGAGAGAGGGAAAGAGAGAGATAGACAGAGAGATGAAGGAAGAACAACACAGAGAGAAAAAGAGGCAGGGGGGGAAAGAGAAAGAACGTGAGAGAAATGTACAGAGGGAGGGAGAATGAAGGAGTGACAGAGAGGAGAGAGGGGGGAATGAAAGAGAGAAAGCGGGAAGTAGGGAGAGAGGAAGAGAAAAGGAAAATGAAAGGGAGAGAGAGAGAGAAGTGAGGAGGAGAGAGGAAGACAGAATGAGAGACAGACACCAAGATAAAGGGAGGGAGACAAAGAGAGAGTGAGAAAGAGGGAAAAGGGAGAGAAAGAGAAAGGGGGGTAATAAGAGAGAAGAGAGAGACTGAGGGAAAGAGAGACAGAATGAGAGAGAAAGAGAGATAGAGATGCAGAGACAGATGGACAGAGAGATGGAGAAAGAGCGTGACATAAGAGGCAGGGAGCGAAAGAGAAAGAGAGTGAGAGAAAGGTAGAGAGGGAGGGAATGAGAGAGGGAAGGAGAATGAAAGAATGACAGAGAGGGAGAAAGGAGGAAGGGAAAATTAAAGAGAGAGGGAGGCAGAAAGAGAGTGAGATGGAGGGAGAGAAAGAGACCAAGAGAAAGGTAAAGAGGGAGGGAGACAAAGAGAGAGTGAGAAAGAGGGAAAGGGAGAGAGGGAGAAAGGTGGGGGGCAAGAAGAGGGAAGAGAAAGATTGAGGAACGGAGAGAGACAAATTGAGAGAGAGAAAGAGAGAGAGCTGGAGAGACGATAGACAGAGAAATGGAGGAAGAGCAAGATAGAGACAAAAAGAGGCAGGGATGGAAAGAGAAAGAGAGGGAGGGAAAGGTAGAGAGGGGGGGAAAGAGAATGAAAGACAGACAGAGAAGGAGAAAGGGAAAATTTAAGAGAGAGAGAAGAAAGGAGGAGAAAGGGAGACAGAAAGAGAGTAAGATGGAGGGAGAGAAAGAGAGCAAGAGAAAGGTAAAGAGGGAAATGGAGAGAGGGAGAAAAAGTGAAAGAGGGGGCAAAAAGAGGGAGAAAGAGAGATTAAGGAAGGCCATGTGAGAAGTGTTGAGGTGAGGAAAACAGAAATCAAACCTGTATTTAATCTAATGCAGAGAGCTTTAGAGAGGGGAGTGTGAAGTAAAGCGTTGAACTGGGAGAACAGTGGGATTCTCATGTGCTGCTGACACGGCAGAACGTCAAGTGTCATAAGTCAGCAGCAAAAGCACAATTTAAAATGTTATTTATGTGAAATATATAAAAAGAGACAAGGCCCTGTTCAGTCTGGTGATCAAACATAACAACTTCTGAGTAAAACATAAAGGGGGATTGTGAGATTTGGGTAAGTGAGCACATGTGTAGACAGGAAATATGCTGTAACTGTCTGGTTATACCTTTATATCATGTATGGTGGTTATGCAATTTGAGGCATAGAGGCGAGCTAGTCCCTCCTACTTCTGTTTGAATTCAGAAGTGTCTGGGACCAGTCCATAGACCGTATACATGAGTGGACATATTCAATTCCTTTGGGAAGGGAAACAGTTTGAACAGAGGTTTGTAGTCACACAGATCTGATTCCCTTTTGCAGTTATGGAGTTTGCAAACTTCCGAAGCCCGTTTTCCGCTGTTAGGACATCCAACAACCACACAATTACAATGTCAGTATCCCATAACTAAAATATAACAATATCAGAATCAGAAACAAAAGCGATATGATTCAAAAGACTTGAAAAGATTGGCTTTGACAATAGACGAGTTTCAGCTGACGTCATTGTTATTAAAAGCCCGCGTTGCATGCTGGGAAATATTTTGGTCGGAGGCAAGAAACACGATAGCAGGTCAAACACAGTGCGTAACCTCGTGTATTTATCCCCGATAATGGTAAATTCCTGCTGCATTATCGGATGCACAAATAGAAGAACGGAAGAAGGAAAATGTCTTTTCCGTATTCCGAGTGAAAAGAACCGCTAACGGCGAATTAAACGGCTTTCAAACATACGCAGAGCAAATCTAGAAGATCCTAACAAACCGTGGACTCCAATAAGTTCATCATCGCATCGAGACTCTTGGAGGTTTTCATCTTTTCTGCTGTGAATGGTCCAGGAGTTTCCACCAAGTCATTGTGGATATCGCCGAAGAGAATGTTTGTCCAGGTAGTTGGCGATTCCGACCAGAAATTTGGTTTGGTCCACCTTTTGTCGGGGTTGAAAAGGGTAATTTGGCGTCCGTCGATGCTTATGACCAATTTCTGGTCAAATCGTCTTTGGTCCTCTGCCGTTAGAGTGGATAAATAACCGGGATCAATACCCTTTACGTGCTTTCTCGCTCCGTCCGTCATGTTGAATTAGTGTTTTTTGCCGCCGACTAAAATAATTCCCAGCATGCAACGTGCACTTTTGTCAACAATGAAACTCGCCTATAGACGCATCCCACTGGGAAATCATACATGTCGGCTTGATGGTCACTTTTTCGGACGATCGTTCCCAGTATGCATTGCACGATGACCAGAAGTCCAAAATTCGGGATGCATCTATTAACTTACAGCTGGACCTTGTCTCTCCTCTCTCTGTAACTACTGCTGTGAGCCTCGCCTTTTCGGTCTTAAAATGTTCGTATTAACCCGCTCTACATGACATTAATTTTGTTTTCGCTATTTTGTCCGTCAAAAACATCCTAACCATAACATAGAGCCTGTCTCCAGATTCGCTCCTGTAACAGTGAGCATCGCAACCCTCATTTGAGTGACGCTGAAGGCTATGGGTGACATCACACTCGCTTAGTCCACTTCTTTTATACAGTCTATGCACCAGTCTATAAAGTATATCCTTATTTGTGAAGTGCCAATCATGGCTGCTAATTTGGAGAATGTGTTTCTCAATTGCTGAAGACAACTCCTTTCGAATATTCTTTTTTGTAAAGTATTATAAAAGTGGCCAGCCCGACAATCGTACACTTGAACTGATGCAGAAAAGTAGCACGTGTCCAATCGCCCACATTACAACTCAGTCCGAACTATTTTTAAACACCGTCCACCGTCCATTCTAGTCACACGCATATCTAAATATAAAAGTCATGACTCACAGCGGGGGTCTTTTGGGGGCAGAGCTGGTGCTGGATGTGGGTGTAGTAGTGTCTGTGGGACAGGAGTGTGGGGTCCAGAGCCAAGGGAGAGACAGAAGAGCCCACTGTCACTGAGAGTCTCTCCCCATCTGTGGGCTGCTCCTGCTCCATCTCTGAGGAAACACACACAGATCACAATTTTAAATACCTAGAGCTCTACGATTGCTTTTTAATAACTGATTTGTATATACTATATCACTTTGTAAGGGTATAAAGTGATATAGTGTATAAAAATCGGTTATTAAAAGGGAGATTACATTAAACATTTCTGCTGATTACATTTTTAATCATCTCTTTTTGCTGTAATTTTTCATAGTTTTAATTATAGACAGTTGCAATTCTAATTTTGCAAATCTCCAGAACAAAAATTACGATATTATCTATTTTTAATGTATCTCAAACATTTCTTTTCTAACCATCCTACTGCAAAGATCTCAAAGATACAAGTGCATGTAGTGATAATAATGGCAAATAATGGTCAGGACATTTGAATACATTATTGTTGTAACATTTAAAACAAAAAGGCAGAAGTTAGTTCAAATTTAAATATAGGAGGTTGTGTTTATTCCTCTCCTTAAGAGTCTAAATTAATGAGGATAAGTAATGCGGACAAGTAAAAAAGTTAAGTTAAAAGGAGCTCTAAAAACTTCCCGACAGTCATTACTTCTTTAATTGTTGCCACAGCCCATTTCAGTCAAATTAGATTCTATGCTCACTATTTTAGTATTTGAACAGGGTATGTAAGGACAGTGTTAGTTACTTGCGAGATTTAATGGTCTAACTGAAAAGCACTAACATTTTCACTAGGTTTTGAGTCAGTATTTCAAATTTCATGCACATTTTATGCCTGGTAAACTGGACTGCTTTTTATAATACGATATTGAGTAAATAAAAATGAGGAAATGTTAGTAATAATAATGAATAATGCATGTTTTTGGTAAAGGCTCATTCTGTCTTCAGATATAAATTTAGAAATAGCAAATTTTTTTTGTGTGTCAGAAAGGAGAATTTGTTTACCTGCTTTACACTAAATTCTAATGCATTGGTCTTAAACAATACTTTTCCAACCTTTTAAAATAGCTTTTTGTGCATTATTCATTCGCTCTACACACGGTGAAGGCACAGCTGCCCTGAGGCAAACTGATGGAAGTGAGGCTGCCAATCTGCTTCATCAGCCCCTCCAACCACAAGACAAGGCAAGTTTATTTATTTACAGAATAAGAAATACATTAAAATCACTGCCATATCATCATAAAATTACAAAGAGAGAGAGACATTAATTACATAAATTAGAGAGAAGAGTGCGGAATAAAAACCTCTCAGGCGTACGCAGCTAAACAGAACCGTTTTGAGCCTGGATTTAAACAGTGTCAAAGTAGAGGCCTGTCTCACACCAACCACCACCAACAACTCCACTCTCATACTAGGCAATGTGGGTGAAGTGCTTTGCTTACTGACACAACAACAGCTTTTGGAAGTGGTGCCCCGCTGTGACGCCTGGAATTCCCAACGGTCTCCCAGCAAAGTACTAACCAAACCCAGTCCATTTAATAGTCTGAAAATGACAAGATCAGGCTAAAATTTCACTCCATATAAACTGGTTTGAGTCCACTTAAGTCCTGATGTTGGTTTGGTCCTGTTCTAGTTCTGGTCTAGTCCTGGTTTAGTTCTAGTGTTTGTGTGAGCGTAAACAGAATGATACAGACCTGTTTGCTGAGCAGTCTCCTCTCTCCCAGGCTCCTCCACGACCAGGTATCCCTTCACCACCTGCTTCAACGTCTGATAGGCCTCATCCCAGTCGTCTGTATAAATAAATATTAGGGATGTAACAATAACCAAAATATCGTGATATCGTATCGTCAAAGTTCTGGTGCAGCAATAGCTTAAAAAAAAGACAGAGGAAACTACATAGACCATGTTCCTTTCCTCCATTTAAGTGTAGACTACATGAAGAAATAACAGTTCTAAGCACTTTTAAGTCTTTGGATTAAGTCTTGTCGAGGCATTTTAAGAGGAAAAAGTCGCATATTAACAGTTTTGTTAGCCTCCACAAAATATTGCAATAAATATCGTACTGTGAGATGTATATTGTGAAAATATCGTACCGAGAGATTTGCATATTGTTACATCCCTAATCGTGAGTCTCATGAGTTTTTCCACGATATCGCAATAAATATTGTACAGTGAGTTTCAAACCGTGACGATATTGTATTGTGAGACTTGGATATCGTTACAACCCTAGTAAATATGGATTATAAGTTAATAAGAAAAATAATGCACTGGGGTTACATGTTTTTTATTACTAACTATTTACTATCCAATTACAGTCAGTCCTGAAGTAGTGTTGTCATGATACTAACATTTCAAACTCAACTAAAATACTAAAGACTGATTTGGATACCACAATAATCATAAAGAAAAAGATATTAAGATATTAAAAAAGATGTTTCTTACACTAATTCTTTCACCCTAAAATAATTAAGGTTAATTGATTGACTGATTGATTGAGCTCTGATACAGACCAAGACCATTCTGAAACTGTCTAATTTTGCCCTATTTATTTGATGTTTTCAGAATCAATACCTGTTCAAACATGTCAGTTTTGATACTAGTTTCAGCACTGACAATTAGAATCTGAGTACTGAATTTTTGACAACCCTAGTTTGAAATCTCTTCCCAAATGACAACAGAAACTTAATATTTTACCGACTTTGCCAGAGTTGTTCAAAAATCCAAAATCCAAAAAATCCACACAGAAATACTTGCAGATAAAAAAGAAAAACATTAATCAAACAATCATGAATCACAGATATGGGGACGATGAGTCAGTTCAGTACGTAAAAGTGATGTCTTCTACTGCTGTACGTTCACATCATTAAGAAAACTGTCCTCACGTCTCCGCTGCTTGACACAACAATGATAAACACAGTGATTCTGGGTCTGTGCGCTTTTAACACACACTGTAATTGAACTGAAAGTGTGTTGTATGGATTTCACTGTAGTGTGTTCATTTATCTCAGGCCACATCAGTGTCACTGGGTCAGGGGAGGGTGAGGGAAGACGATCTCTGCTTCGGATAAGAGGATAACATGATACAAGATGGTACTGGGCCTGTTACAGTAATATACTTTGAAGTCAATATACACGATAAATGATAAAATTTAAAACATTTTTTACTACTGACTATTGTTGTCATGATACTAAAATTTCAAATTTGATTTTGATTCTGAGGATAGATACTCAATACTAGGGATGTAACAATAACCGAAATATCGTGATGTTGTATCGTCAAAAGTCTCACAATAATATCGTGGGCTGTCACAATATATCAAATCACAAGTTCCTTTGCTTAAATACATGGTTTTATAGTAGCAGCATCTTATAAACATTGGGAACTCCATATCCCATGATTCATTTCAGTGCAGATGAAAGAAATATGATTGAATTCTTGGGATTATGACGGAAATAATTCACACCAAAATCTTGTCAAGGTATTTTAAAAGCAAACAAGTGTCCTGTATACGATTAAAATTAGCCTCTTCAAAATATTGCAATAAATATCGTACCGTGAGATTTGGATATCGTTACATACCTACTCAATACTGATTCTAATACCATGGTGATAAAAAAAAAAAAACAACATTTATTAAACAACAGAATTTATTAAACAACAGAATGTGATTTCAAATATTCACGAAAGGTTCATTTTTGTCCTGGGGAAAAAAAAATACTGTACCACTGTGAGGAGTCTCGCCTCAACACAAAATTTGACCTGTATATATACATTTTACATACATTTACATACATTTAATGCCATACTGTGGAATTCAAGGAAAAGACAAGAAGCTGGTGGCACTCCCTCCACCAGAAAAGCTATGTAGTTATGCAGAGAACATAAACATAACATAAAATATCAGACTGAACACTGGAATATTTCTTTCTAAAACCATCTCACCCATTATCTGAAGTTTTAACAAGCTCTACAGTGTGAATGCAACTGCTTAAACAATTCAGAAGAGACAACTCAACAGTACAAACCAGAGGCGATGACGTTATCGAAGAAGCCTGGGTGCAGTCTGTGGGTGTGTGCGTACATCTCTATGCGAGACACGGCCCGGTCGATCTGTGCGGGAGAGTACAGGTCGCGGTTCTTCAGGTGACAGATGTACTGGTCCACTTGGGTCGGAATCAGCAGGATGTAGCGAGGCTCAAAGTGACTGTCCTTGAGACTACAGATGCCCTGAAATGAACAGAGGAGCATGTCAACCAAATAAGACATAAAGACATAAACATTCTCCCGTAGACATACATGCAGAACCCCCCCAACACTGACCTCCAGCTCCATGTGCACGCAGCAGGCCAGTCCTTCTCTGGCCACCTCCTCCACTGCGTCTCTGGTGAGGCCGTACCTGTGACCTGCATACTCCACGGTCTGGATAAACTTACCCTAAACAAAACAAAGTGTATTTATTAGACAAATGAACCAGGGCTGCAGGGCTTTAGTTATTTAGTTCATTAATTGGTCAAAATTTGTATTAATTGACAAATCATTTTATTTAGATTGTAAGGATGTACTTACTACCAGTCAAAAGTTTGGACACCATCTCATTCAATGTTTTATTTTCCTTAATTTTACTTTCTTAATTAGACTACAAATATATGAAGCAAAATAATAACATAGTAATTTTTTTTTTTACTTATTTAACTTTTCTCCTTTGCTACATAATTCCATATATCTTACTTAATATATCTGAAATCTTCTGTATGTATATTAAAAATAAGTAGTAAAAATAAAGAAAAAAGAAAACACTGAATGAGATGGCGTGTCCAAACTTTTGAATGGCAATGTTTCTGAGAGCAGAAAGGAGAAGTTAGCTAAACATTTTGTATTTTCTGGTATTTGTAAGTACAGAAGCAGTATGCTAATCCGTTTTGTGTAAAGTAATTTTAAAATTTTCAATAAGGATTTAAAGTAGTGACTTAAAATATAGTTATTAAGGGAAATATAGGTATTCATAAATCCACTATTTATAGTAAATAATAATAATAATTACTGCTACTACTAGTACTACTAGTACTACTACTACTACTAATACTACTACTACTACTATAATAATAATAAGTTATTGTTGTTATTGTTGTTATTGTAATGGTTATAATAATTATAATAACTGATAAGGAGGAAAAAGGAAATACCTTTAAAATTATGCTTTGAGATTGTAATAAATAGTAAAAGATGATGAAAGAAAATGATGATGGTGAAAATAATATTAGTTTAAGTATAGTGCCTAAAAATGTTTTTTTTTAAATGGGGGAATAAAGGAAAAAAGAGAGGAGAAAGGGAATTTCAATTATAAATTAGCCAAAATACATCAATGCAAGGTGGTGTGTTTATGCTGCACTAGCATATTACTTTTGTTTTATTTAACTTTGTGTATGGGTGTTGTTGTTTTTTTTGCATTTTTGTTGTTTTGTATTTGTTGTGGGTGTTGCTTTATGTTATTGTTGATTATTGTATTTTGTTAAATGTTATATTCTGTTGTCTTTAATAAAAAGAGGAAAAAAAGTACAGAAGTAAATTAAACTCATAAATCACAAATTAAACCTGTATTTACATAAATACAATTTTCATAGAACATTTTCTGCATAAATAGTTGTTTTTGCATGTACTCCCATGCAGGTGTAGTCTTGTGAGTGCAGCTGGGGTCAGATACACAGAGATACGTGATCGTTTTGAGAGCTTTTGCCACGTCCCCTTTTAGTTGATTAATTGATCTGCAGGACATGTCTTTAGTCAACCAAGAATTTCTCTAGTGGAATACAGAATGAACAAAGGCAAAGACCTGAAAACTTTATTACCCCAATATTCATCATGATACAACAGGCCACAGTAATCACCTAAAGCAGTCACAATCCTCTGCATGTTCTGTCAAGATTAACAGCCTCACCTGTGAACTGAACTTTTAACCTTTAGGTCAGGTAAAAAAAAAAAATCTCACTTTTGTTACTTCTCCAAAATGACCTCTGGCTCATGTCTGGGCATTTTTATGAGAGCGCCGCAATTTATAATCCTCGTGAAGATTACACTCAGGAATGGCTCGGCAGCGTGTAGGTGAAGTCTGGCTTTATGGTTAAAAGAGATATGTGACAATACTATTTGGGTGACTTTGCTGAAAAAAGCATCATATTTTAGTTACATGTGCATTCAAATTTGGACAGGACCAAATCAAGCTTACAACTGTAACTGTGCAGTGACATCATGCTGGGGGATTTCTACATGTATCACTATTTGCAGGATTTTCAACAGCTTCCATGGTGACACAATACACACATAAGCAAAAATAAGTTTTAATGTAGGCTGCAAACACAAGAAAAAACACAACATTGATTTAAACAAAACAGTTTCAGGGCCTGTGATTGTCATTTTATGCAAGAGACTTATTTAACAGCATAAATCAGTTCACCTGTTGTAGTTCTAACCGAAACCAAACTCTTTCTGATCAGATTGTGTTAAAGGGACAGTCTGTAATTTTGGACATAGGACCTCATTTCCTAGTGAGCCAGAGTGTTGGAGACGTGTGGAGACACTTTTTAAAATATTCCATCCAGTCCTTGTATTTGCAGAGGTCGCTGGTGCTAGGCTAGTGCATGTCTATGGCCATAGTTAGCCGGATACTAAAAACAGTCTTACCCACGCCACAAAACACCCGAAGCAAATCTGTTGACTGTCGATGTAAATGTCTGTGTTGATTGAATAGTCTTAAGAGTAAAACCAACCTTGCATTTGAAGGATTTAAGTCTGAGCAGCAGCAGCGAGTTGTACTTCCTGATAGAAAGCTTAGCAGCGGCGGACTGATATATGAGAAAATAGTCCCTCAACATGCAACGATTCATACGATGCAAGGTTAATTTTATTTGACATTATTCTATCAACACAGACATTCACATTGACAGTCTGGCGTAATAATAGATTTGCTTCGGGTGTTTTGTGGAGTGGGTAAGACTGTTTTTAGTGGCAGGATAACTATGACCATTGACATGCACTAGCCTAGCACCAGCAACTTCTGCAAATACAAGGACTGGATGGAATATTTAAAAAAGTGTCTCCACACATCTCCAACACTCTGGCTCACTAGGAAATGAGGTCCTATGTTAAAAATTCCGTACCGTTCCTTTAGATAAAGATCAGATTAATGTCTAACTTGTGCAACAGAGCGTCTGACAGAATAGTGCTTTCAGTTAGCTTCACACCCAGGGAATGTTGATGACGTCAGCTGCACATTAGCTGCAACAGTATCAACAGGACAAAATAATCACTAAACTAATCTGGGTTTAAACCTGAGACAAACCAGGACCAAACAAACCATAACAATTAAAATCCAACAAGTTGCAGTGTAACTAATGTTGTGTTAAAACTAAATACACAGATAAACACGTGAGGTTTGTAAGAGCTTCTTAGCGTTTATAAGTGCCATTTTGAGTACTTTTGACCATTTAAAAGTGTACATTTTGTTTTGATTTACTAATTGCTATGATACCAGTGCCAACTTGTCATCCTGTTGAAACCCATGTCTAGAGATCCTTTCCCTAATGAGTAAATGTTAATATACAGAAAAATAAAGTCATTCTTCTAAGGAACAATTGTGTTTCAAACTACTGGAGTTTTGTATCTGGACATTTTATTCTGATTATCTTAAAATCAAAAGCAATTCTTATGTCACAGCTAAGTCATTTTGACCTTCATATAGACTGTATTGTATTTTACTAATTATGTTGACTACAAAGAGGACTGATTGCAGTGTGTTTGAATGGGCTGGAGAGGTAATGCCTGCCTCTCCCATGATTGGAAGACCTGTGTGAGATTAGAGCAGAACCTGTATGTGAAAAGAGACATATAGATAAATTCATACAGGTATTTATATAACAGTTATAGCAACCTAACTGTAAACTTTGCTTGTCTAATTTACACTCTAGTTATTATTTGACGACTAAAAACAAACATCACTGCTTTAATTTTCCCATATTAATGTTAAAAATGTCCCTGTATTTTTGTATTGGTTGGACTTTTGAGGATTGATGGCATAGATGGGGGATTCCTAAAGAGGTCAGAGGTCAGATCTCAGAGGTCAGAGGTCGGATCTCAGAATGACAAAATCACCCAGTTAAACTTTGCACGTTCCTGTTGTCAACTCGGAAAACTAATGAGCAGTATATTACAGTAAAGACTCAATCAAGTGCTCAGATTGGTCAAAATGCAGTTCCAATTGAAGTTATTTTAGTAACCAAAAACATTGTTAGTATATTAACAGTTAAAGCAACATTTGAGAGTGAATTTCTGCTTTTGTTGACATCATCTCCGTGTAGCAACATTAACATAACAGATTATAACAGCGCATTTATAACTGCAGAGGCTCAACAACAGAGATCGACTGATATATGTGGAGCCGATTTTGATAATTTTACCTAAAAAATATATTATTTGAAATTAATACTAACATAAATATTATCTATACTTTTTACTGCTTTGCATAATCAAACTATAATAAGCAAAAATCCTCTCAATAGAATGTATTTTTAGACATCCACAACCCTATTTTTACTACTAACCCATAATGGAGCAGTGTAATGTTATTGTGTGAATGTCGTAATCGCACTTAAGTGTTAAAATAAAGCTTCACGCAGCAATCAGAAAGCCCAAACCAAATATTGACCAATAGGCAGGAGGTTTAGGGCTGATGATATACAAAAAAGAGCAAATATTGGCCCCATATATCTGTCTTTCTACACAGCTGTGCGGGAGCAGGCTCACAGACAGCGGGAGCAAGATGAAGAGACAGATAGATGGATAGATAGATTGATACGTTTTTGATCCCATGGGAAATTTACTGCAGACCATCTACTAAAAAAGTTACATAGTGCAGTGTTTCCCCAAACTTTTTTTCTGGGGACCCATATTCTAAAAGTCACAAACCTTTGCAATCCAAGTCAATAGACATTATTCGTACATCACAAAATAAAGGTGGATTTGATCATTATTGAACAATAATGAGGATATTTTATTGTTGACTGAGTGATTGTCTCTCTGAACAATTAGTATTACTCAAGTTTGACACAATGAAAAAATGTAATTGAATCAGCAGTAAAAGGATCCATAAGTTGCCTATTTGGGCATTAAATGTAGAACATTTCTTTTTCTTTCAACATTCAATTGAACCAGCAATATTGGAACAAAATGGTCAACAAAATAATTACAAAAAGATACAATTTTTTACAAAACATGTCTTGACATTTCAATATTTCTAATGAGATAGGGGGGCCTGTCTGTGTTTTTGGATAGCGTTCCAGTCCAGGGTGCAGGAGGAGAGCACAACACACATATCAGTATCAGAACTGTATATTGCAGACTGACATGCAGATCGTGACAAGGAGACCCAAAAAAAAAAAAATCTCTTGCGACCCACCTGAGGTTCACAATCCAGTCTTTGAGAAACAATGACATAGAGCATATTTAAGTTATTTAGTGTGTGTTATTTTGAACCTCTACAGTCCAAACAAAGGAACTGTCAAACTGCTGTGTAGCGTCTTGCTCAACTACACAACAGGCTGGAAAATCGGCTTTGGTTGAACCTAGGATAGAACCAACAGCCATCCCATTTTAAAATCCACTTTTCCACATTTCCTCTGCGCATGTTTGTCTACCCCAAATTTAAGACTTTTTTAAGACCTTTTTAAGGCCACTTAAATGAAAATTAATACCAACATTGCACCCATTATGCGAGCAAAAAACACCAGATCCAATTCTAATAATGACCAAACAACTACTATATCTAGAATCTAAGAGCTACTACGTTCATTCACGTTACGTTATTTCACGTTGTTGTTTTTTTCCCCCTCCTTCCATTTAACATTGCATTGCAGCCCGGTTGAGCATACGAAAAAATAGGCTAATGAAATTTTGTGAAAAAAATAAGACTTGGAAAACATAATTTTAATGCCTTAATTTAGGAACATTAAATTTAAGACCTTTTTAACACTTTTAAGACCCCATGGTTACCCTGAACTAAAGGGACTACAGCACTATCAGTATGTTTTTAATTTTTACCAAATACAGGTTGGAGCCGTGTTGGATTTTCTAACTGTTTTCAGATTTTCCGAGTAGAAATTCCAAGATCGTGGGGCGTTCAGGTTGTCATGTAGAAGTCGGAACTGCGAAAAAAGTAACCTCCGAGGACGATTGGAACCATAAGCGTTACTCGGGTATGGTATTTTTATTTTTTTTCCTTTCTCTTTCCATGATTGGAAAGCCTGTCTGAGATTAGAACGGATGACACATGAAAAGCAAAAGTCGGAATGGAGTGAGAGAAGGAGGGAAGGGGGGAGGGGCAGAAGGAGGGAGAGGGTGGATGTGTGCTTAGTGTTAACATTAGCAGGGGCTTTGAGGGGCTAGACAAAAGGCATCAATAACAACTTCAAAGCTGTGTGTGTGTAAATCATGTCTGACCCTCACCTCCATACATCAGGCTCTTACATAACAGACTTCACCGGGAAATGGAAAACGCATGCAGGTCTACAGTCTCTGGACTTACTCGAGGAACGGAGCAGCTCGTGCATATGTCTTCAATGAATCGCACACACAAATTGGGTAGTAAACTTGGCACTGTCACAGTTCTAATTCACAAGTTTAGAGAGGTTTTATTTGGTGAGATTTACTTTTTAGGGGATGTAACAATAACCGAAATATCGTGATATCGTATTGTCAAAAGTCTCTCAATAACATCGTGGGTTGTCAGAATATATCAAATTACAAGTTCCTTTTGCTTAAATGCATGGTTTTATAGTAGCAACAGCTTATGAACATTGGGAACTACATATCACATGATTCATTTCAATGCAAACAGCATGGAGAAATATGTTTTTTACTTGAATTGTTAGGATTTTGACGGAAATATTTCACACCAAAATCTTGTCAACGTATTTTAAAAGCAAAAAAGGGTCCTATCTACAATTATATCAGCCTCTTCAACATGAGATGCATATCATGATAATGTTGTACCGAGAGACTTGGATATTGTTACATTCCTACTTAGTTTATTATTTTATTTCTTCATATAAAACATACCTAGAGTAGTACTGTACTTAAAGGTCCTACATTAAACAAAACTGAGCTTTAAGTCATGTTATAATGTTGTTATCTTCTCAAAAACAGACCTGGAGTTGTGTTTTGTTTCATTCACACATGTCTGAGTAACCCTTTATTGTTAATCTGTCGACCTCTACAAAGCTCAAAATGCTCTGTTCCCCCTTGTGAGGTCATGTAGTGGTAGTTTTCAAGTTAACAAACACCTTTGACCAATACCAACACCTTTGTTCAATAGAGTTTGGCAATTCCAGGGCTTTAAAAATGCTAATTAATCAGTTTAAAAACATAGTGGAGCAATTCCTTTATTACCACATGACATCACAAGGTGGTGTTCACGAGTGTTTTCAGTCTGAGAGAAGAACTCAGCCTAAATCTGCAGGGTTTTTGTGTTAAATGAAAATGTGTGACTGAAACAAAACACAACTCCACTTCTGTTTGTGACGAGGAAACAACATTATAACAAAAATCAGAAAATAGCGTAATATGGCCCCTTTAAGAAAAATGCTGACTTCCAAGCACAAGCCACAGTAAGTCTAACCAACTAATGTTATTTAAAGGTAAATACTAAAACTGCAGTGGACTTGGTGTACCAGCAGATGGAGCCTGTGCATCACCAGTTGTATACGCACCACATTTTGAGAACCACTGTAAGACAACAAGAAATAATTTGCACTTTTTTGTTTTCTGCAGATTTATAAATGTCATAAATCTCCTACGCTACTGACGAACTCATCAAGATGGGTTTAAATAACTATAACATTAAATGGCCCTTTCAATAATTCAGAGATTTATAGTTTTAGAGACTGGTGGGTGTGTTTTGTTCTATCTATAGCTGTGACAGTGATGGAAAACCTGGCGTGACATGCTGCTATAACTCATTATGAAGAAATTCAATTAAGGCCATTACGCCCCCTGAAAGAGCTCGGTTTACCTCAATGTGTCTTTATTAAGCCATTATCAGCTGGCAGACTTAAACCACTCCAATGACTGCTAAGCTAATTATCTCCACCACTCAACACATTAACGCCAGTAATTATTATTATGATTTCAATTTAAAGCCATTCTCACAAAAAGATCTGCAAACACATGTAGGCTCTGCGTTATTTCGTATAAGTGCCCGGATTCTAAAATATGCCACAAACTTAGTATACAGTTTGGACTATTGAGTGTTGGTACTTTGCAGCTGATGACGTCAACAATCCCTGAGGGTGTGGTGCTCGTCAGAAACTCTATAGGCTCTGTTCACAATCCGTCTATCGTTCGTTCATTCGTTTTTCAAAATAAAACCAAAAATAAGAATTCATTATTTGTCTCAAAAACCAAAAGGAAAAAATGGATATCGATTAATTTTTTTCAGTTTTTGATTGTGTGTTTGAATGAATAATGGAAAAAAAACGGATAACGTTTCCCGTTTCTGTGACTTAAACTGCGATGCCGGACTGGACCAGGACTGGACCAGGACTGAACCAGGACTGAACCAGGACTGAGTGTCATGAGGGGCCCGGAGGTAGACTGTCGGGTGATCAGCACTAAGACCAAGATCAGACCAGGACTGAAACCGGGACCAGACTGAGACTGGGACCAGACCAGGACTGAGACCATGACCAGACCGGGACCAGACCCAGACAGACAGGGACCAGACCAGGACTGAGAACAGGACTGAAACCAGGACTGAGACCGGCTTAGTCCTGGTTTAGTCATGGTTTAGACCTGATTCATTTCTGGTTTAGACCTGGTTCAGTCCTGTTTTAGTCCTAGTTCAGTCCTGATTCAGTCCGTATGCGGCGCAAAAGTCCAGCATCGCAGTTTAAATCACAGAAACGGGAAACAGCCATTATCCATTTTTTTTCCCATTATTCATTTAAACACATGATCAAAAACTGAAAAAACTAATCGTTATTAATTTTTGTGGATGACGGCAGTGTAATTTAAATAGGTAAATTCTAAAGAAAAAAAAATTAAATAAGCATACCATATTTATCATGTTCTGAAAGTCTTCCTCTGTGACAAAATGGTAGTCGACTCCATCCTCTTCTCCAAAGTAGGGACCCCTAGTGGTGTGGCAGATTCTGTGAAATAAAAATATTGAATCATTTTGTGAATTATTTATGCTGCATGACAACACTAAGGGCCTTCTTCTGCACCCACTTTTGTCTCTTAATGCAAATAAACTACTTTTTTTTTGTGGTGGGAAGTTTTACTCTAAAATATGATATAAAATAGGTTGTGTTTACATAACGAATTCAATGTTAATGTGGAAGTCAACAATGTATGATTCTCTGGGAGGCTTTGAAACAGCTTTGTTGTCCATATAGAACTTATGTGAACTTATTAGAATTTATAAGATCTGCAGCCCCATGTAAAATAAAACTACCTGAATGATGATGGCATCGCCCACGGAAATTTCTGTAAGCAAAAGTGAGTATATAGAAAAAAACTAAAATGAAATAATCCCTACATTCTTGAATATCACAAATACTACACTTTTTTTTAAACCACAACTAATTCAGAAAGTTATTATTAAATATAAATGTAATTAAAGAGCCCATATTACACTATTTTCTTCATGTCCGTTATAATCTTGTTCTTCCTCACAAACATATCCAGAGTTGTTTTGTTTCATTCACGCATGTTTAACACACAAATCCCACATATTTAGGATGAATACTTCTGCAAAACGGAAAATAATCTGATGTCATGTGGTAATATAGCAAGTGCTCCACTGAGTTTTTAAACTCCACACACCTTCACTCGAATCATTTGGAAGATTTCAGAACCATTGTTGATCTCTACTGAACTAAAGGTAAAAGCTGTTAACTTGAAAACAAACACAACACGACATCACAAGGTGGAAGAAACCATTTTTAGCTTTGGGATGTAAACAGACTAATAATAAAAGGTTACGCAAACGTGTGAATGAAACAAAACTCAACTCCAGGTCTGTTTTTGATGAGCTGATAATATTATAAGGCTTAAGGCTCACAAGAATAAATTTTGTGTAATATAAAACGTTACCTATTTGTTATCTTCATGAACGTATCTTTCAGTAAATATGTGTTTGTATCTACGTAGATTAAAAATAAAACCTTACCCCCATCAGTTATACATGGGAGTGTTGACCAACCGTTGTAGAGCAAAGTTAGTCTGCGTCTGCACGGTCTCAAATCAATAAATGTACATTGTAGCTCGATTTCAATTAATGCAACAATTATTAGTTTGGCCTCATAGTTCACAGACGAGGCTCGCACAGTGAATGTGATTTGTGAAAGCTAATAAAGAGGTACACTGCTTTTGTAATCCTATATGATTATAATTACCACGGGAAAGATTAGGGGGTTTACAATGTTGATTACTTTCATTGATCGTCCTGCTTTGAGAGAAAGTCAAGGGGATTATAGGACTCACTGTAGTATTCACTGTTGTGGATTTTATTTTATTATGAACATGCTCCATCTTTTGTGCAAATATGGATTCAGTTATATTAAAGGTGCACACTATGTAACTTTTCTGGTGAAGGGTCTGTCACACTGGAATGTTCCACTCTATGACATCAAACAAAATTACATTACACTTCATTAATTGTTTAAAAAAAAATGGCTTGAAAAACACTGTTACTCTGACCCGTAACTTAGATATCTGAAAGTTTAATGCCATACTGTAGAATATTCCAGGCAAAGAAAGCCATAACATCTCCATGGACACAAGTAAGCGGCAAACAATCTATTAGAAAAGTTACATAGTGCATGTTTAAGATAGTTAGTAAGTTTTATTTATATATACATTGGAGAAACAAAACAGCTACTTCACAAGAGGATGTACCAACACAGACGAGAGAGCAACACGGGACCTCAGTCTTCTGTACATCTCCGCCTATAAGCCACAGGCCACTCCTTTGAGGACAGCGAGGTACAGATCTTAGCCAAAAAAGAATTGGTTTGAGAGGGGAGTTAAAGAAGCTATTTTTGTTAAGAAAGAGAATCCCTTTTTAAACAGAAACAGGGGACTCAGACACCATCTGTTTCCTATTAACAACTCCATCCTCAAACCTAAATCAAAACAAACAAGAGAACAATAGCCGTAGCCAGGTCAGTCCCAGAGGTGTGAAAGCTCCATTATGATGCTGAATGGTTATACTAATAAGACCCCACGCTCGGTGCAGTTCAATAGGCCTAACTAACAAAAATAAACTGTAAACAAGTAGGTGTGTTAGTTTCAGAGTAGTTTCACTGAAATTAACTCCTCCCTTCAGGCCGATATAAAGAAGTGTCCACCAACATCTGACCAGAACTGAAGAAGCATCTTGGATGAGATGTAAAATGTATTTGATCAAATAAACTTTTGTCCAGTTGACAAATTTGCCATGGATTCTACCTGAACAACTGAGGGATGTTTCTAGGGGTGTGCAAAGATATAGAAATACTGATATATCGTATTGCTTAATGTGACGGTACACTATCGATATCGTGTGCTGCTGTATCGAATATATCACCAAGAGTATTTTTTGGTATAATTTTACTAAATTATTTTGTTACAGCGCTACAGTTTTGTTGCTTGTTTAGTGGAAGGAAACTCGTTCATGCAACACATTTGACATTTTTACTGTTTTGATAAATAAAATGTTTGTGTTTCATAAAAGCTGGTTTAACAAAGACTTTTAGTATCACAGCCATGATTTAGCCTTTAGTTTTATTGAACTGTACCAAATTGATTTGAAATATATCGAATCGAATCAACAGTGCACTGTATCAAGATATGTATCGTATCGGTTACTTCTTAATGATACCCAGCCCTAGATGTTTCACACATTTATATATACTGCTTTTCTTTTAATTTTTCGACCAATTTACCCACTACAGTCCAATCACAGACTAGCAGCAGGGATGGCATCAGGCATACAGAACTGCCAAACTATACAATGAAAGTAGGCTTGGCTTTTGACCTGGAGTAGAGCCACTGTATTTTAAGAACCATTGTCATCCAAAAAAGATTAATACAGGTACAATGAAGTGATAAAATATTGTAGTTCATTCTCCTCCCTTCATTCTTGGACATTATAAACGTAAACACGGGCCCATAGTCGAAGTATTCACTGACAAATTACAGAGTGAAGTGTCTGGCCCAACTCCCCAAACCAATCACAGTATTTTTTGGTTGTAGCTACAGTCAAACCATCACCGGTCCCATTTTAAGAACCACATAACCAATAAAGTGATAGATTTCTGTAGTTCATATTTGATTCTCCTCCCTTCATTCTTGTACATTTTAAAGCATGTACTGACCCATAGGCAAAATATTCACTGAGCTCCTGACACAGTCTGTGAGCCAGCTCCCTCTTCCCACAGCACTGAGGTCCGGTCAGAACCAGCATCGGGTACGGGCTGTCCACACCGGGCAACGTACTGCACACAGATGACAACAAAAATACACTTTATTGACATGGAAGAACCCAAATAAAGCACAGGACTGGCTTTGTAATTGTTTTTATATCATATTTCTGAGTGAGTGTCCAAGAGAATAAAAATGCTATAGCACACCTTCTCTGTTTTGTACTTGTTCTTGTACACTTTTTCACATACATTTTCATATTATTAACCTATCTACTTTCATACATCTCAAAAAATTTAATTGTTTGATACTATAATATAAATTAAACAAAGAAAACATAGAGCCCAAGTCACCACAAGGGCAAATATGTACCAGCTTCTTCACGTGGTGCTCAGACAGTTTTTCAGTTTGCGGGTTTGCCTAGTTCAAAATTCCATTTTATCCACATTTTTTGTCTTCCTTTAGATAATTTCTTGTTTAGAACTAAAGTGGAAATGATGTAGTCCACTGTTAGACCTGGTTTAGCCCTAGATCAAACCTGGATTATTCCTGAAATAGACCTGGTTTAGATCTGGTGGTACTTGGAAAAGCCAAATCTTTTCTTTTCTTTGGTGGTACTTGGTGTAAAAGGTTTGAGAGCCACCATGAAGAGCTGAATAAACCTGCTTTAGAAATATAAAATACATATATGGACTAATGTTTATTTTATTTTGATGACAAATACTTTAAACGTGCACAAAGTCACTTTTTGGTTGATTATTTCTACCTGCAATGTTCCACAGTATGACATTAAACAGCTCTTCTCTACATTTATTCAGTCACAGGCACATTTTTAGCTGAAAAATACCTAGAAAAACAGGCATTCTGACTCGAGCTGGGTTGTCTCTCCACAGATCTGACCTGTAACTTGGCCCAGTGTGATCTCCATGATGATAGAAAGGTTTAATGCCATACTGTGAAACATTCCAGACAAAGCAACAAAGCACCCCAGAATAGTTAAACCTAAAAACAGAAGAGTCCAAAATGTCCTACCTGTAGATTATTATTTGTATATATGTTTGGTTTATTTCTTTAATCTGTGTAGTTGTTGCTCACAGAGTAGCATGAGCACACAGCCCCTCCCCTGATATGACTTTTACTTTACACTCTAATGACTCCATTTAATCATACAGTGGCAGTATATTTTTATGTGGCACTTGAGGACAATAAGAATGGACACAGAATAAAGTGCAGCTTGCTCCGACACTTATCGCCCACGGTTAATTTAAACAGCAGTGTGAGGGTCTTTGTGGGAGGCTCGAGGGAGGACTAAGCAGGATGTCGTCTTTTATCTGCTGATGACGGATCTTTAAAAAGTGCAGAGTCACCGTTCTCCTCTGCGGACTGTATAATGTGGGATATAAGTTCTTAATAATTTATTCATTAGCTGTTATTTCCGTTTTAATGGGCCCACATTACGCTATTTTCTCATCGTAAGTTATAATGTTGTTTTCTTATCAAAAATATACCTGGAGTTGTGTTTTGTTTTGTTTCATTTATGTAAGTTTAAAACACAAACACTGAATATTTAGGTTGTGTTCTTCTCTCAAAAAGAAAATACTCTGTTCCACCTTGTGATGTCATGTGGTAATACAGGAAGTGCTCCACCGTGTTTTTAAACTCCATACACTTTGACTAGAATCATTTGAATAATTGCAGGCCTAGAAATGCAAATCTCTATTGAACAACGTGTAAAAGGCAGCTGATGAACTTGAAAAATACAGCTTCATGACATCACAAGGTGGTACAGAGCATTTTGATCTTTGGAAATGCAGACAGACTAATAATAAAGGATTACTCAGACATGTGTGAATGAACCAAAGCACAACTCCAGGTCTGTTTTGGAGGAAGAAACAACATTCTAAAAATCTCACAAGAGACAATTTTGCATAATACTGGACCTTTAAAGGTTCACTATGTAACTTCTGACAGGGTGGTCCTTTACGAAAAACTGAATCCATTTTGTATTTTTTGTTGAGTTTTCAGATAAATCTTGAAACTTTTTTGTCTGTGTTCACTAATGTGTGCATTGTGTCCCCATGGTAACTGGTGGACATTCCACCACAGAGATACATGTAGAACACCCCCAGCATGCTGTCACTGCAAAGTATCAAGTGATCACCCTATACGTTCCTTTTCCCCCTGATAAAATGTATTGAAAACTTTTTGGTAAATACACTTAAGGCTATGTAGTTAATTGAATTTTGATCGTGATTTCGATTTGTGTGTCAAACAATCTTCAAACTCATATAATTGAGTTGAATCAAGCTTAACAAAGTTTATTTTGGGATATTTTTTATATAAATAAGTACATTTATTTATTTTTTAAATATAAATTTTGTAGAACAGCTGGATATATAGTTTATTTTGGATACATTTATGCCCTATTTTATGTTCAAAGTATATTTCATTCATTTTATGTTTTATACATCGCAAAACTGCTCTAAGGTTCATATTTGCAGCCTAGATTTATTTTTAGTTTGTTATTGATAATTTATGCAAAACTTTCAGAGTGTTTTGGGTTTTTTTTTTCTGAGAGAGAACACTGAATAAATGCATCTAAAAAATAATCATTTGAATAATCATGATTTCAAAATTGACCAAAATATTCATGGTAATCATTTTTTCCATAATCGAGCAGCCCTAAATACAATCCAGTGAAATGAGATACAAATGTTCTGACAGATGCCCACCTGTCATGGAGCTGCTGAGGCTGCTTCATCTGATAAACCAGGTGTTTCATGTGGTCCCTGGCAGCCACCACTTCCAGAGGAGGGTCATACTTGTTCACCGCAGAAACCTACACGCATATATACTGTATTTCATTTACTTCTTATTTCACCATTTATGTTACGTTTATTTTTTGCGATTTCAAATGTGTACCTTCTCTTCTGGTAAAACATCTCTTTGATCCAGAGAAGTTAAATGTTGAAGCAAGAAGATGACAGACAGTTTATAGTCTGGTTGTTCCTGAAAAATTAAGTTTAAGATTCACAAAGTAGCTTTTCTCGAGGAGGGTATGCCATTATAGCTTTGTACATTTAAAATATCTATCTACGCAGTAAGAAATAATGCATGTTTTCCAAGTATTTTTGAGCAATAAAAAGGCCTGATAATAAATGCTACAATGATATGTTTGTACTAATACCACTTTTTGAAAATAACTGCTTTATGTTGGTCAAATCAACATTTTTTTGAAGCCTGTGAGGTGACTGCTGTTGTGGTACTGAGCAAGAGAAAAACAAACTGAAATTGAACAGGAATTGAAATGTGACAGTGTGCCAGTGGTCAGAGGCTGTATAAGTCGTTGTGGTGCTCACCTGCACAGGGTTTTGTAGTAAATTCAAGTCTCTCAGAAGTAAAAGATTACATATGTGTCTGCACTCCTGGATTTCACTGATCTGGGAAAATATAAAACATACAAACTGTTACTTAGGGCTGCAAGACTCATCACAATCATTCAGGTAATAAATCTACAAACAACATATTCTACGGACTTATATTTAAAAACAAAACAAAAAAACTTTAATTGAACATAATCTACAAACACGATTCCTGAATATTTGAATGTGCACTATTTTATAACTTTTTAGGTAAAGGGTATGCCACCTGCTTGTCTCCATGGGAATAGACCTTTTTCACAACAAGTGGCACGATGTAGGGTAAACGTAACTTATGTTAATACTTTTCTATGGAAAAATATCTGTGGAAATGTCTTGCGTATTTTCCACCAGCTTCATAAATCTGAACTATCACCAAATCTTCATCCAACAAGGTCGACAAAGAACACATTCTGTCCATGAAGATTTTATCCACAACTATCAAGGTAAGAAAGACAAAAACTTAAAGGCAAACAATGACGAGCATTAGTGAACTACTCCTGAGCAAAACTAACATTATGGTCATGAATAAAACATAAGTAACTTGTTAACTCAGACTGATTCTACAATTAAAATTAAAAATCGATTTCATGGTGTAGATATTAGCATAAACAGAGTGATTTGTGCAGTTTAAATGTTAGACATGTAATCTGTGAACATCTGTAGCATTCAAACTGCACAGATCTCTCTGTTTATGCCAATATCTACATCATGAAAACGATTTATAATTTTAATCCTAGAATCAGTCAGCAAGTTACTTATTAACAAATTACTTATGACTTATGTTTATTTATGACATAATGTTAGTTTTGCTCAGGAGGAGTTCACTACTAGTATATAACTAGTAGTTAGTCGCTGTTTGCCTTTACGTTTTCGTCTTTCTTACTGTGATAGTTGTGGATAAATTCTTCATGGACAGAATATTTCCTTTGTCGACCTTGTTGATTGAAGATTTGGTGATGGGGCAGATTTATGAATCTGGTGGAAAATATGTGAGACATTTCCACAGATATTTTGCCGTTGAAAAGCATTAACATTAGTGACATTTACCCTACATCACGGTACTTCCGACCGTTGTAAAAAAGGTCTATAGTCTGAATATCCCAAGATCTGGAGTAAACGTATACAGTTATTCCATTACAGATATATTAATTGCTAAAGAAGCATAATTCTACTGTGAGCTGAGTCTCCAGAGACAGGTAACTAATGGCACCATCTGCTTCTCTCAATGAAGATGGAGAAGTTTAATGCCATGCTGTGGAACATTTCAGGCAAATAATTAACGTTCATAGAGGCAAGCAGGAGACAGATCCTTCACCAGAAAAGCAACATAGTGCAACACAACTGTTTTATTTGAGCAAAATGTGTCTTTCCACAGTACAGATATATTGTATAAGCAGCTCTTGAGGTTCAAATAAGTCTTCTGTGTGCTGTCTGCATTTAGTTATAAACCAATTTATATTGTGATAATCAGGAAGTGTGTGTTAGAATTGTTGTTAGCTTTACTGTCACTACAAAAAGATTGAAAAGAGCATTGTGAAAAGTGCTTGTAAACTCACAACTGTGACTTATTAGGATGTTTGGAAACAATAAGGTAAATGAGGAATAACTCTGGACAACTGCAAGCTGTTTAAAAATTAACTAGATCTGCTTTTCAGACAGTAAAAATCAGGTGCGATGCTTTTAATGCTCCTGGATGTGCTTAAAATAATAACTGTGTAGTGTAATAAATAGTTTAGCTGTATTGTTTTTTAATTGATGTTGTGTGGTGGAGTTTTCCAGGTGGTTGAAGCTGAAGTCAGAGCGTGTACCGTGTTTTTCTCCAGGTTGAGGAGGCAGAGCACGTGGAGCTTCTGCAGGCCGGACAGACTGGAGATCTGGTTGTGAGACAGGTCCAGTATCTGCAGATTTAACTGGTTCTCAAGTCCTTCAATCTTCGTCAGCTTGTTCCCACTCTGCATTTGGAAAAATAACACCCCAAACTATTAAAATGCACATGAGTCACCAAACATTTTTTCTCTGGGGGTCACATTATTGCTCCTGACTGTGATGGAGGCCGGGGTCAAGTCGGGCATCTAACAGAATTGTACGACCCTGACGACGCATATTATATTCTTTGAAAACCGCCACACTTTCTTTACATATCAGACGAACTGCACGGTCCTTACACTGAACAAAAAAATAATCGGTTGTCCACTGTTCTTTGAAAACTCATCACTCTGTGTCAACTTTTTGTACTTTAACACTCGCCATTTTTCTGTTCCTAACTGCGTAACAGAACTCTGCCCATACGTCAGCTGTCACTGTTTGATCTCGAGCTTGTCAGGTGACGAAAATTTGGCGTCAAATGTAAATACCTCATATAATTATTTTAATATAAATACTTCATATAAATATAACTTTTTAATTGAAAAAAAATAATAAATTCTACCCAATACAAGATGCAGACATGTTATTATTTGCCAAAAAAAGTACTTTTAAAAAATAGGCCAAGACGACTTTTGAGGATTGCCTCATAGGGCCAGTTCAAGTGGTGGTGGGCAGTGGGGCTGGGGGGCCGGGTAAAGGGGCGTGGCGGGCCGGAGTCGGCACGCGGGCTTTAGTTTGATGACCCCTGGTTCAAACCTTCTTTTAACAAAATAAAGATGTTATGGGGTGGGGTGTGGTTAGGAGAGGGAGGGGGGAGAGGGAGGGGGTAAGCCGGGTTCACAAGTTCTAATGAAAAATAAGAACAAACAGTTGTTGATATGTCTAATGAAATGTACACCGTGTATTGTTCTTTATAAAAAAAAATTAATGATTAAAAAAAAATAAAGATGTCATTTTCTTATTGTTATAACTCTTGAGTAAATTATATAAGAATCCTGACCCTTGTTAATATTATGGTTGCTAGGTAAGAGTTGTGATGTTAACTATGTTTTCTTTAAATGAGTAATCTAACATCTGTCGTATGTACTTGTCCACACAGGTACATGCAGTGCAGTATTGGCTCCCTTTGCTGTTTTGTGCTCAATGATTCACACTAATCAATTTTGCAGACTTGCCCCGGTGTCTCTGCGGGGCGCCTGAACTCTCCCCCTGCTCTGAGGCGCTTGACAAGCCTGCTGCTCGGCTCTAAACCCTGACAGGTGCAGACTGACAGGCACACAGCTGCTGAAGAGCCAGCCCAGCATGATAGCAAAGGAGAAAAAAAGAAGGTGGCCGTTAAGGATAAAGAAAAACTCCTGTGACTTATTATGGTATGAAGACTACTGGGGTCCTTGTGAGGCTCTTAGTTCAATGATTGTTCTTAAAGCAACACCACGGAGCTTTCAGGTATGACTGCAGCGAAATGTAAAGTTAAGCGTAAACCATACTTTGAAACATTCCTTATGATGATATTTTAAGTTAAATACCTCAAAGAAGCTTTAATTTTCTGTTGTCTAATTGTGTGAAACCACTGTTTAACAGAAGTCTAACCCTGGGCTCAGACTGCTCACGGTGCAGCTCGGACGCAGTGACCGAAAATATTCAGACTAATTAAAACAGACCAGAGGAGCTCAGACCACACGCCGGGTAGTGCAGTGGTCCTCCATCTTTGCCTCTGTAATCTACAATTTACAGTAGCCCATCAGCTCAATAAAAAAAATAATTTCTGATCTATGTTAAAATGTTGTTTTCTCATCAAACAGACATGGAGTTGTGTTTTACTTAATTCACAAATGTTTAATACACAAACGCTGCATATTTAGGCTGAGTTCTTCTCTCAAACAGAAAACACTCTGATCCACCTTGTGGTGTCATATCATACAGGAAGTGCTCCACTGTGTTTTTAAACTCCATACACCTTCAATAGAATAATTTGGGTACCGTATTTTCTGCACTATAGGGCGCTCTGGATTATAAGGCGCACTTTCATTGAATGGTCTATTTTTTAACTTTTTTCACAAATAAACTGACTTTAAATGAAACACAACAGTTGGATGGGTCAGTTGGACTTTGTTTGTCATGTTCACAGTGACTCTGGGCTTTGTTCAGTTGTGACGTGTAGGGAGGGTGGTGTCTGGGACCGCTGGATTGTCGGCGTGTTCGCAGTGACTCAGTTGTTCAGCTGTGTCTAGAAGTGGCACATTGCACTCACTTTATCAGTTCGTTCCTCCGTTCCGTTCCTCGTCGGCGTGGAGTGATGAGTGTGGCTGTGGTGTTTTTCGCCATGCGGTCATGTGGTGCGGATTTGTAGTTTACTGAAGTTGTGCTGGAACACCCGAGTGGATTGTGGGGCGCGCAGTCGTTTTTTGATGGAGTTGGAGGCTTAAGAGCGCCCCCTATAGTCCTGAAAATATTGTAATTTCAGCCCTGGAATTGCTAATCTCCGCTAAACTAAAGGTAAAAAGAAGCTGTTAACATGAAAACTACAAAGTGGAAGAGCTTTGGAGATGCAGATAGACTAACAATAAAGGATTACTCAAACATGTGTGAATGAAACAAAACACAACTCCAGGTCTGTTTTTAAGGAGGTAACATTATAACATGACTAAAAACTCACAATTATGCAAAGTGTAGGACCTTTAAAGGGACAGTCTGGAATTTTGGACATAGGACCTCATTTCCTAGTTAGCCAGAGTGTTGGAGACACTTTTTTAAATATTCCATCCAGTCCTTGTATTTGCAGAGGTCGCTGGTGCTAGACTAGTGCATGTCAATGACCATAGTTATCCTGCCACTAAAAACAGTCTTACCCACTCCACAAAACACCCGAAGCAAATCTATTATTACACCAGACTGTCGATGTAAATGTCTGTGGCGATAGAATAATGTTGGAAATAAAACTAACCTTGCATCACATGAATCGTCGCATGTTGAGGGACTATTTTCTCAGCAGCAGTGTAATTTTACTTTGCCGGTAAAACAGGTGCTAGATTATATCAGTCCGCCGCTGCCAAGCTTTCTATCAGGAAGTACAACTCGCTGCTGCTGCTTCTCAGACATAAATCCTTCAAATGCAAGGTTGGGTTTACTTCTAACTTCCTTTAATCTAACGGGTCCTGTGATTTCCTGTTCAAACCTGCAGATATGACTCTCTGCCTCTCTATACAGAGGCATCTCATGGCAACAAGCATCGGATTTCATATTAATTCACTTACGGATTTAATCACATTGCCTGTATAGCTTCATCCCTATGGCCTGTCTACTCTTGTCTGGACGTACGCCGCCTGTTTTGATTCTTTTCCATTGACTAAAGTTGTTATCTTGCTATCTGGCCGCACCTCCGCCCACTGGTGCCAAGCTTGACGCCTGGCAGAGGGCTCCTGTCAGTGGGGGTGGGTGACTCCAATGGTCCCTGGCAGCTCTCGGTCAGTTCCACAGTGGGCAGGTGAACAAGCTGGCCGGCAGGAGCGCTGTTTGGTGGGGGGGTGGTGGGGTAGGTCGGGCCTGAAACGGACACTGGACGAATATTGGGCTTGTTTTTGTTGCTGAGTCTTGAATCGGCTCCAGGTTCTTTTCTTTCTAAACCAGAACAGCTGCTCCTAAAGGGAACTACAGCACAGACAGGAGCGGTGCAGTTAGACCAATGACTGCTGACAATGAGGGAGGCCATGATAAAGGATGGGACAGACAGAGAGAGAGGAGAGAGGGAGAGGGGGAGAGAGGGGGAGAGGGGGAGAGAGAAGGCCTGCTGGATACACCATCTGCTGAGTCTAGTGCAGGGGCCAAGGTTTTACTCTGAGTGGAAGTGAAGCCAGAGCTGATTCATGAAGAAGGGGCAAAAGGAATGAGGGAGAAGGACAGAAACTAAGAGAAGCTAAACAGTAAACTTCAGTGAATGTTGCTCTAAATCTGTGGGTTTCATGAACATTTAGATGATTTCAGAGAGCATTTAGAAACCAAATCTTGTGTGTTTTGAATGATAAAAAGTCTTCAAAATGGTGTCCTTAACGAGCCAGGCTCCGCTCAATTTAATTTCTCTCCAGCGACTAGGACAGGAATTGGAACACACTAGAAAGTTTGCAAGAATCCCGGAAGTTGTAGACCGCGCACCAGCCAATCAGGGAAGAGCTGTGAAGCCATGACGTCAAACTCAAGCGCCTGTCTGGGTCTTTTTGTGGTACAGCACAACAGTAAACAAAGCGGTCGAGACGGATGTAGACGAAACCAAACATTCTGTGTTGGCAACGATTCCCGAGATCGAGGATTTAAAGGCGGAACAAAGAGAATGTTTGGTGAATTTTGTCAAGAGGAAAGACGTTATCGCTCTTCTTCCTACGGGATTTGGGAAAAGCTTAATATACCAGTTCGCCCCGATCGCAGCGCATTACATATGTCACGACCAAATAGCAGCGATTGGTTAAAAAAAAATTTACCCAACCTACCGTCGAGCGAACGAATCCTAGTGCTGCGAGGTCAGACTGTTTCCACGAAGTGAAACCGTCTGATGAATCAGGACAGTCCATAACAGAACAGTAATAAGAACAATAATGTGCCCTTTCCAATTTTATTCACTGGTAATTCACTTCCAACACTTGGTGATAGTGACACGACAGCCACTCCTGACTATGGAAGTGGGTATGTGTCTTGCCAAAAGGTACAATAATAATATACTATTTCTATTTAACTGTCAGATTGTATATGTTTTAGGTTAGTTTATAGTTATATCTCTGTAATTACTGGGCCTACCCGCATGCTACAAAGTTCAAGTCTTTTCTCTCAGTAGGGCTGGGCGATATGGATCAAAAAATATATCTCGATATATTTTACTATATCTCGATATACGATATATACCTACGCCCTTGTATAGGCCCCAACTTTCCACTTTCCATCTGAAACGATTATCATCAAGTGGCAGAAGTGGAAAGTGGACATACCAGATTGAGTTGAAACAGAGGGGCATTGTCCATTGAGCTGATCCGTGAGATCTTGTTGTTGGCCAGACTCAAGTGGGTGAGTTTCAAACAGTGCTCCAGTCCACAAATCTCACTCAAGTTATTATCTGCGGCAGCCAGGTCAAGAATAATACACAGAGGAAATTACATTCAACACCGTTTTAATCAAATCTGCAGATCTATAGGTCTAGACAGAAGTTATTGCGATGAATAATGTTGTTTGTGTGATTGAAATGGCACAGCGGGGACAGTGTGGTGGAGAACAGCCACACGGATCAATGTAAATGCTATTGAAAAGGATACTGTCCAAATTGAGTCGAGCTAAAGATGAAAACTCAGATAGATCCCTCATTTCGGTCATGCGGTTGTGGGAAAAGTTCACCTCCTAAAAAAAAAATAAATAAATCACACAAAACAGAGATGGTTAAAATACACTGTTAAGTAGATATGAAATTATTCCAGTAAAAATATGACATGACAATAGAAATTTTATGGAAATACTGTTTGGAGATATGCACGTATTGATAGGTGTCATCTTATTGTTTTTTGAGGACCATTTTCATCATTCAAAAGCTATAATAACTGCTATGGCAACAGTGCTTTATTTATCACTCTGAAACCGATGAATACACATATACATGGATATTTATAATCAAACAAGCTAAATATAATATATTTTCTTCCAAAGATTAAGAATAAACAACACAGATTTGAAAAAACTTACTTAGGTAGGATCAGGTAAGAGGCAAGAAACACACTATACACTATACTAAAATATAGTTGGAACATAAAAGCAAAAAGTAACATATAAATACTCACAATGAGAAGAATAACCAACACTTTTAGTCAAGTATTAGTAGTTGGTAAAGTCATATATTACTCAAAAATAAGTAAAAGTATAGTGTCAAAAAATACTGTTTCTTCAAAAAGTTACTCAAGTAAATTTTAACTAATTATTAGCCACACATGTAAAAAAACGACAGTCAAATCGATAAAGTAAATGCAAAGCTCTTTAGTTCAGAAAAGTTCACTATCATCTGAAGGATACTTGATGTCTTGTAAGCATATTCAGGGTCTACAGATGGGCTATCTTGGGGGAATAGTTTGAGCGAGAGAGTGAAACCCCAGGCTCCGATCAAACTGTGCCTTTTCCTGTCAGGCCAAGGTCCTGCTTTACCTTCAGGTTTTTAGGAGGCTGGAATCCAAAGAACTCTGAGATCTCATTGTGGGAAGCGTCCAGGATGGCCAGAGAGGGCATGTGGCTCACACAGGACAAGTCTGAGGAAGAGACACAATCAAACATCAGTGATTTTTGTGTTTTTATGAAGATGATTGAGTATTATGTGTTTTGCGTAACCTTTGATTTTGTTGTTCTGTAGTTCCAGTTTATGAAGATGGATGTATTTGCTTAAAAGTGACACATCAGTGAGATTTCGATTCTGTGGAAAAGAGAGACAAAATGCAATCTATCAAAGAGTCGACATTGATAAAAAGTGGCAGCTGTACCATGTGCTGCTAATGGTTCACAAAAACAATACACAACTAAAACTGTGGTGCCAATAGCTGTTATAAACTGAGGGTAAACTGAGGATAAACTGGTTTTAGTCTTACATTACATGATAAAAACTACAGAAACCATTTCAAATTTACACCATTACATTTAAGATTGATTCTTATTCAACAGCAGCATCTCACCTTAAAATAAACTCAAAGTGAGAAGCAAAGTGAAAATGTAAACATGTTTTTGGGAATAATCCATTATGGAGTGTTATTATTATTTAAAAGAAATTACAGATGATGATGGAGCAGTAAGTAGCAGCCTATTGCAATTCAATAAAAGTAATCAATATGCTGACATTTACTTTTAAGAGTCCATATTACACTATTTCCTGGTTTATATTATAATGTGGTATCTTCATCAAAAACAGACCAGGAGTTGTGTTTTGTTTCATTCACACGTTTAACAAACAAAATGCATATTTAGGCTGAATTCTTCTCTCAAACAGAAACCATTATTAGTGATCTACGTCAGCAAATCTCAAAATACTCTGTTCCACCACAATTCTGTTTATGTTTTTGATGAGGTAACCGTCATGTCCTGATTGTTTTCCTTTTATTTTGAAATCACTTACCCTGTTTCTGTTGCAGTTTACTTCCGCCCTCTTGTCTCCCGCCTTTGATTATTGCCCTGCCCTAATGTGCTGCACCTGTGTTCCATTAGCCCCCCTTTTTAGTCTGTGTTTTCCCTTCCCCATTTGTCAGATTGTCTCTCTGTTATGCGGAAACTACTGTGTTTTCTGAGATTTTTTGGAATTATTAAATCTGTTAAATCTTCTTTGTGACTCTGGGTCTATTTTTGGAGCCAATTCTTTGTACTAACTTGACAGTAACAGCGTATATTTTGAGTAATATAGGACTTCAAACATGTTTATAAATTGTTAAGACCCTCTGAAGAAGTCTGCTCACCTGTAGGGGCATGTGATGGTGGTAGTATTGTTGTCCGATGCTGCTCACACAGCACCCGCTCTGACGCACACTCTTAGACACAGCCTCAGCGGTCAGAACTCCATCCTTCTGTGAGCGGAAAACATACAGTCTTCTTATTCTTTTTAGTTATTTAAAATCTTCAAAGGCCACTAGATGCATAACTTCAGCAAAAAGCTCAGACAATATTAACTTTTATTTAGGTCCAGAGGTGGAAAGTGACTAATTTTTGGGGTGATAGTACTTTTTTGAGTAGATTTAAACATGCTAAACCGGCAATTGAGTAAAATTCTGCACACGTAACAGTTAGTGAGTACAGCACAAGTCCCAATAGTCCCAGTGCTCCAGCTCTGCTCCTCTCAACAAACACATAAATGTTACTGCATCAACGGCTTTATTGTCCAGAGCTAAGAGAATATGCTTCTTTCCGGTGTGAACTGTTAAATGAATCAAGATTTGTGTAAAAGACAAATCTAAATGCAACGAAAACTGTGCAAAAGTAACTAGTAAGTCCTTTTTGTAGTGTCTTTTCATGCATACATTCTACATTTAGTATGAAATGTAATTACTGGATTTTTACTTGAATACACATTTTCAGTAGCTACCCTTTCCACCACTGGTTTGGCCTAAATGCAGTCCCTACCTAACATAAAGCATGCATAGGGTGACCAGATGTCCCTATTTACCCGGGACAGTCCCAGGTTTGAGCCCTGTGTCCCCTGTCCCAACAGAATTAACCAAAACCACTGATATGACCCAGTTTTACACAAGAAATGTCCCTATTTTTGACCAATCTGATACCTGCAAACAGTAAAGAGAGGCAAACATTGTCATGCTTAGGTAAAACACAGAAAAGCTGCTTAAAAATTACCAAAACACTAAGAAAATGTGACTATACTCCAGAATGCATTACAATTTTCCTTAATTATGCACTCGTTTCACAATTTTATATGACCAACCAACCCAAACAAGGGACATGCCAGTTTTTTATCTTGAAAATCTGGTCACTCTAAGCATGCACAGCTCTATAGGCACCTAAAATGCATTAGTAAAATATAGAAATGATTAAGATTGCGACCTTGTTAGGCTCTTTTACTCCACCAGACCTCCTGTGCAAAGTAACCTGCTTTACCTGTTGCATGGAACAAACTTTCTATTAATGTCTGCTCATTTAAAACAGTTTATACTAAAGCTAAGATTAATAACAAATGCATAATATGAATCTACAGTATTTACGTTAGCATTGTTTGCCAGCGTTAACGCCAATTTAGTTATTTTTCGCGGTTTTCTTACCTCCATGCTTTTTTTTTTTTTTTTTTTTTTAGTTGTCCCTTGAGAGATGCGACACGAAAAAACAACGTCGTTATAAAAGGTTCCGCGTTAACTATCTGCAAAGAATGTGAAAATAAGAAATAATTGGTTCATTATAATAAAAATAAAACGTGACCGAAACAGCGCTAAATCTCCCCTGCTGCTGTTTACGTCGGTCAAGTTTCACAGCGTCTCCTGTCGCTAAGCAACGCGGCGGCGCAGGTGAAAGGGATTATGGGGGTTGGAGTTTATTAGCAAAAAGACTTAATTCAGAGGATAAATAAAGAGGAAAGAAATTTTATTATATTAATTGGGATATATTATACACAAATATCTATGTGTGTAGATATTATAATAACAATAACAGCAACTTGCAATGCTTTTTGGCTTTTAATGCCCAAATAAAATAAGATATGTTGTCTAGAAAAGATTAGGTTACATATTATTGTCTGTTTGAGGAAGATATATTTGCTTTTTATATTTATTTATCATTCTGAAACCCACAGATTACCTCCTGGTTCTAAAAGTGCACAGCATAATATTTCTAGTAGAGGGTCCACTACTCCTTTGTCTCCATGGAAATGTTATTACTTTGTCTAGAATGTTCCACAGTGTAGATTTAACCTGTCTATTGCGAGGGAAACAAGCAGATTACAGCACTACGCTACATTACAGTTCAGATCTGTGGAGAGTCGCCCCTATTCAGAGAAGGAATTATGGTATTTTTGCGCAATCCAGGCAAAACAATAACATCTCCATGGAGACAAGCAACAAGTAAAGTTGCACAATGCATCTTTAATGTAGGGAAGCTGCGCACACGTCAGCCTGTAGGCCTATTTGTTTAACGTTTGATTCCACCAGTGACATAACATTATACCTGTCACAAACTGCAGATCGCACTGTGTTGATTTTGGCTTCTCGTACTGTACCTGTGTTGATAGAACTGACATCACATCCAGGGGCTTCTTTTGTTATGCATGCAGGAGAGATTGTGTTGTGTGTTCAGAGCTGCACTTTCTCCAATGAAAACTTCTTGCAACACAATTCAAAACATACCAGATGCCATGAAAACAAGCACAAGAATTGACATGTAATTTATTATCTTTATCATGCTGAGCCAAATGATCAGATTACATTTTATTATACAAGACCTGTGCAAGTGTCAAAACATCAAATTAAAAAAAGGACTAGCTCGAAATGTAGTTTGAAATATGAGTAGCATGATAATCGGCCTTAAAGATGCTGTACCTTTTTACTGTCTTAAAAACATGAAAACAACACTAGTTCATTTTAAACAGTTTGCAGTGGTTCAATGTTATTCCTCACTTACCTAATACATTACAAGAATCCTAATTATTCACCGCAATGAGTTTATAAATGCTTTTCACAACTTTTAGAGACCAAGTAAAGGTAACAACAACTAGAATAGATTCTTTTTTCAGACAAAGGTTTCGTTTTCATACCTGACAGTTTCGACTGCTCACTAGCGGTCTTCCTCAGAGTGTTAATGTGATGATGCTGTGAGTTGATTTATACAGGTTTTGGTCTTCTTATTAGTGGAGGCAGGACGACAGCGCCATCTGCAGTCAGACTTCTTCAGGACAGGATGGCAGGTGTGTGAGAATAAAAAAGCCCTCTCATCCCAGTTGAAAAAAACAATCCACTAAAATTAGGGTGACCAGATTTTCAAAATTCTAAACTTGTGAAAAGAGCGTGTAACAACAACATAATCTGAGAGACTTCTATCGCTGCAGTTTTTTTTTTTTTTTTTTTTTTGCTTTATGCTTATTTGCAAACATGATTTTCTCTATTTTGGCTAAAAAAATTGACTGAACCAACAAATAAACTGAACCAGGACTAAACCAGGACAAAACAGAACTGAACCAGGACCGAGAGTCAGGACAGGCCCAGAGGTGTGCCCATGTAAACTGTTGAGTGACCACTGGCGAAAGGACCGGCACAGAGCTCCGCGCCCCACGGGGAAAAGCGCAGCCATCGATGGAAGATGCTTTGCGGACACCCTGCTCCATGGGCCCGGGGTTCTCCCTCTCTGTCTCTCAAATCCAAGATTAGTCCTGGTTTAATCCTGGTTCAGTCCTGGTTTGTCCTGGGTCATCGGTGTCGGAATGGCAGCATCAAAAAGTGTTGGAATGGGGGCATGTTGGTGTGGAGGGGTGTCGGAATGATGGTACGTCGAGGTGGGGGTCTATCTGAGTGGCGGTATGTCGGAATAAGGGTTGTACCCCAAACAAATGACAATTTATGCTCCTCTTTACTGTTGGCGAGGATGAGATTAGTCAAAAACTGTGACAGTACCGTTTTAGTCCTGGTTTAGTCCTGATTTAGATAAAACTGGTCAAAAACAGGGACACCTAAGACATTTTTTTGTATAAAACTGGGACAAATCACTGGTTTTGAATAAATCTGCTGGGACAGGGGACACAGGGCTCAAAACTGGGACTAAATAGGGATATCTGGTCACCCAAATTTAGATAAATTACCGAAAGACCAGATAAGACCAATAAAAACAATAAAATACTTAGCTATTAGACATAACTACATGCACACAGCACACAGCAAACTTATTTTGACCCCAGGAGCTGCTTATACAACATACAGTGCTGGGGCATGACACATTTACCCAAAAATAAAAAAAAAACACAGAAACAAATTAAATCAGGTACAGGGCCTTTAAAGTTGCACTGTGTAACTTCTCAATTTCTGTGGTAGAGAGTCCGTCACCGGCTTCTCTCCATTTAGATGTTGCTTGGTATGGCATTACGCTTATTTATCTCTGCGGAGACAGGAGGCGAATGCCACTAGGGCCAAGTTACAAGTCAGATCTGTGGAGAGGCGAGCCCGCTCATAGTAAGAATGCATGTTTTTTAAGTCAATAAAAACTGATTATTGAGTAAATGCAAGATGGACACCGGACATTTCAGACAAAGCCACATCTCCTCCACCAGAAAAGTTACAGAGTGCATCTTTAACGCAGACAGAATTAAAGTTGATGGCGTATAACCACACACAAGTAGTTTGCACTGAATCAGCTGAAGGAGCAGATTCAAATCTAACTCGGAGTATATGTTTGGTGGTGTTGGGAGCGGGTGTGTTCCCATTGATTTCACCCATGTGTCATTATGATGGATTGCCTGGTGAGGCCTTAGGGAGCCCTGCCGCATTGGGTCTGTAGTATTGACAAGGCCCACATTTCTCTAGCCTCTTGTTAAGTACTTCTCTCCAAACTTAATGAACTAAAAACAAAGGGAAGGTTCAGCTGGCATAATGATGTGTGCGCCCAGCCTCTTAAGATCATTGTGTAGTTTAAATGTATTACGGTACTATTTGTAGAGCAGGTGATTTAACACAGATTTGAGTAAGCCTGTCTACATCTCCAAGGCTCAAAATGCTCTGTTCCTTGTGATGTCATGAAGTGGTAGTTAAGTTAACAGCTTCCTTTTTAGGCCAGAGATGTTCATTTTGTCTTCTTATGTACTTAAACTTCTTGGGTTCTTTTAAAAGACAGTAGAGTAAAGTGTGTTCGCCTTGTTGACATGTTTTGGCTGCTGCTGCTGCCATCTTCAAAACTTTCATCGGTGTTGGTGTCAGCTGTTGTTTCTTCCTGTAGACGTGGTCAGCCTGATGGATCTGGCAGATGTTGAGGAAAATTATCTTTTTAAATAATAGACATCCGTTGAAGCACCAGAAATAAAAGTTCATTTAATATCTTTGCAAAGAGAGGCAGAGGACGAGTCTGTTCAATGCAGGGTTGTAACGCTGTCTGAGCTAGTGTCAGACTCACAAAACATATACAGAAGTGTCTAAAATAAGTATTGCCAAAAGAAAGGAAACATCTGCATCTGTGCTGGGTCAAAACATAAGCAAAGACAGTTACTCCCTAATATGAGGAGAGCAGCTTTCATATAAAACACACAATGAAAACTGTAAATAACTGCACGTAAAAGCAATAACGGTATTTTCCCATTACATAGGTCGCTCAGGCTGACCACGCCTCCCACGAGTCTCCCTGATGTTTCCTGTGAAAAGGAAACATCAGGGATACTCACCAGAACACAAAAAGACAAAGCAGAAGAGGAAAACCTAAAATCCGCCACATCAGACCACTGTAAAAGAAATAACCACATTATGGATTGGGACGGGGCTCGGGTCATTGGATCGGAAAACAACAAGTTCAAACGCTGGATCAGGGAGGTCGGTGAAATCAGGAAAAGAGGCACGGACAGCATTAACTGTGATGACGGAGCGTTCCTACTTTCACACACCTGGGACACCCTCCTCCAGAGAACACCGGGCAACTCCATAAAGAAGTCTAATGCCATTTTGTGGGACATTCTAGGCAAAGTATTAATATCTCCATGGAAAGCAAGCAGGTAGTGGAATTTCCACTACGTAATTCATCAGCCAGTTTCACTTCATGGAAAAAGTCTGACCTCGCAGCATTAGGATTCATTCGCTCGACAGTAGGCGTGTACTTTTTTTTATTTAACCAATAGCTGCTATTTGGTCGTGACGTATGTAATGCACCAAATCCCGTAGGAAGAAGGGCAATAACGTCTTTCCCCTTGATGAAATTCACCAAACATTCTCTTTGTTCTGGCTTTAAATCCTCAATCTTGGGAATCCTTGCCAACACAGAATGTCTGTCTTCATCTACATCCACCTCGACCGCTTTGTTTACTGTTGTGCTGAACCACAAAAAGACCCAGAAAGGTGCTTGAGTTTGACGTCATGGCTTCACAGGTCTTCACTGATTGGCCGGTGTGCAATCTACAACTTCTGGGGTTCTTGCAAACTGTCTAGTGTATTCTGATTCCTGACCTAGTCGCTGAAGCGAAATGAAACTGAGCGGCAACACTAGGTATGAATACAACTTTTTATACAAAAATCAGAGCAGTGTGCATCAAACAGTGTGTGAAGTAAACAAAAAAACAAAGAAAATCTTCCATTATAAGATTTCAAATATTAATAGTAATGACTTACAAACTTTCTTCAGTCACCCCACACAACTTTTCCAGCTCATCAAAAACACGGTGAATTATGTGAACTCTGCTGTACAATACAAGTCAGAGCTCGTGGTGAATGCATCGGGGACTGTGTTAAATTGGCAGCGAGCGGAAGAATTCTGGTGTCCTCGTTCAGACAGTGTAATGTGGAGTCTGTTATTGCAGACAGGATCAGCTGGGCCCAGGGGGAAGCCCAAACACACGAGGCAGAGGTGGAACTGAGAACAGCGCTTTACATTTAATAGGAAAATGAGATAAAAGGGTCCAAAATGAGACGTGTGACATTTGGTGCTGTCTGAAGAAGAACAGGCACCTATTAATGTACAATGTATTCACTGCAAAAATGTCGACATAAGTTAAAATGAAATGAACTCAGAATTTAGTTTTTAACAGGATTTATTTAGTTAGTTGTACTAGATTTTTTAGTTTCACTTTATTTCAGATTGGTTTCAAATTTCAATATTTTATCTTCAATATTTAATGGCGCATTGTGTCAGTTTTCTGGTGGAGGGTCAGTCAAATGCTTTACTCTTTATCTGGAATGTTTCACAGTGTGGCATTAAACCTTTTTGTCTTCATGGAGACCAAACCAGACCAAGTTACAGGTCTGTTCTGTGGAGAAGAATCCCCGCTCACAGTCAGAATACCTGTTTTTCTAGGTACTTTTGAGCTAAAACCAGCTGTAAATGAATAAATCTAAGGCAGAGCTGTTTAATGCTGTACTGTGGAACTTTCAGGCATTAGGATTGTCTTTTGTGGTGTAAGAAAATTGCTGCTTCTTAATTAAAGCTGCAGTGTTTAACTTCTGATTAAGGCCCCATCCACACTAGTACGTATTTGAGTTGTTTTCGTTGCGGATACATTGTTTGTTCACACTAATCTGATGGAAAATGGCTCCAGAGACGGAAAAATCTGGTGCCGCCAGCTCTCACGAATTCATCTGAGTACTGATCTGATTCGGCTCTGTGTGGACGTGCCCCACGAATGCACCTTAACCCTAGCCTATGGTTAGGAGTTCACGTAGGTTTATGGGTTAGTGTTAATTTAGAAGTTAGATCAATGAGTAAGGTGCATTCGTGGGGCACGGCATGTGCAGAGCTCAACGTGGGCGTGGCATAGGCTTGAGTGAGGGCCGATCATTGCCGCTTGCGGCTATATTTATTATTATTATTATTATTATTATTATTATTGTTTAAAAGATGCCTAGGCCATGATGTTTAATAATGTGGACATTAACAAACATGCTAAATATCCAGTGTGCCTTCTGGAATGTTGAGAGGAGCCTAACATTCTATTGAGGTTCTGGGCCTGTTGATGGTAAAGAAATCATCACAGATCCATTGATTTTGGTTGGATTTTTATATTTTTTTCTGTGGAATAACTATACTGTTTGAAGAAAAGAATGGCATATTGGCTGATGTCAAAACTTGGGGGAATAGTCGATTGCCAATGAGGTAAAGACGAAAATATTGGAAAAAAGTGAAAAAATGCCTTATTTTTTGGCATTAAATTGAGCCAAAATTATGTAGAAATGTGTTTTATGAATATTTTTTTCACTGAATGTTGTCACCACATGAGTTCTTTGCACCTGGAATGTATTTGTAGACAGTTTACCCAATCCACTGAGGGTTTGAGGAAATTTTTCATTTTTCAAAATTTTCTATCACAAAATGAAGGTTACCTACACATCACACGCGGACTGACTGTTTGTGTCTCGCTCCTTCTGAGTGCAGAGAGCTACATGTACGGACCCCTGTTTGGTCACGCTACGCACAGCAACCTACATTCGGTTTGGTCAATTAAAATTTACATAATCGATGAAATTCTTAATGATCAATTATCGATTAATCGACTAATCATGCCCATCCCTAGTGTGGACACAAATAGTTTCCGATACAGTGATATGGTGATACAGCGATTCATTTCAGTGTAAACTTAACCTGAGGCTGCCTTTCTCCACACAAAAAAATAAAAATAAAATAATAATAATAATAATAATAATAATACAATAACTAATTTGACTTATCCACACTTTCTTGTTTCCACTGCTTTGCCTAGGATGTTTCACATATGGTGTATGCTGTATGGTGACAAGCAGGTGGTACCAACAGAAGTTACAGTTCACACCTGTGGAGAGGCGAGCCTGTCAAAAGAACAGATGTTATTTCTGAGCATTAACAACAACCACATTCACATACATTATGGATAGATATCTTTAATGCCATACTCTGGAACATTACAGATAAAGCAATAACATGTAGTCAAGCAGTTATGCAGTGCACTTTTAATCAAACAATTAAGAGCTACAGTCAAAACTACTCAAATGAAGATAATAATTAATAATATTCTGAATTCAAGAGTTTTAACTGAGCTGTAGGCATTGGGCGTTTTATTTTATTAGTGTAAATATCGGCTTGTGTGAGTTTCAAATAAAAAAAAACAGCTGACACAAAGTTAAAGTTGCATTAAACTTCTCTGCTTACAGCTAAAGTTGTGTTGGATCACGATATATGTGACAGTTTTCTCCCACTCTGTACCGTCAGGGAAAAGGAAATGCACACAACAGTGAGTTCAGTCTGAAGCAAGATTCTGTTTCAGTGTATATATAAAAAACATGTTTACATATTTGTCTATTTTGTTTTGAGAGTAGTTCAGTGTTCCTTTATACAGGCACGTGCTTACTATAGTATACATCAACCAAAACATTATGACCACTGCTTGCTACATCGCATTCTAAAACATTATAACAAACAAAACCTGCATTATTGTATTACCTGTAGTCTGAAAAGCTGCTAAAAGTGAGCACATGCCTGAAAATATAAGTATGAATATCAGCAATGTGAGCTACAAACACATACTTTTTTCTTTCAAGGTTTGGAAATTGAATACCCCATCTTCAACGAAAACAACCCAAAGATATCAGTAACTATAAAAAATTTAATGTTAACAGTGGGCACGTTTACACGGGCAGAGAAATCAGATAACATGAGGATCTGGTGTGTGTTAACAAGAATAAATCAGCTTGGTCAAGTTTGTTTATTTGTAAAGAGCAAAAATTATCCAATTTCTTCCTGATGTTAGTGTGTATGTGAACACAGCCACTGTTTTTCATTTGAGTACTATATTTTTCGGACTATAAGTCGCACTTTTTTTCATGGTTTCATGGTTTCCTGCTAACTTATACTCAGGTGCGACTTATATATTAAAATTTTCACATTGACAGTCGTGAGAGGCTCTAGTCTTGTGTGTCAGTATCTGCTGCTCCAGTTACTCCTGTTCCACTGTCACTTGGCTCTACTGTGCATGTTTCCTGCAGAAAGAGCCTCTGTCCTGCTGCAAGGAGTAAAATATGCAGGCGAAAATGGTAATCGAGCAGCAGAAAGAAAGTTTGGAGTGAGCGAGAAACTTGTGAGGGACTGGAGGAAAGCGGGAATGGAGAACACAGCTTCACGGTAACTGGGAGGGAGCACCATAGAACTTTCCTGGAAGTCACTGGATGGATCGACAAAGTCTGGACTTCAGTGACACCGAAACCCTCTGTCGGGATTCAGAAAGGCCGGAACAATTCTAACTGGAACTGATGCCAACTCTGAAACAGCTACGCAGAAGACGAAACGGCACTGCTTTTACCTCCGAAGGTCGTGAAGTTGCTCAGAAGTGACACAGAGGATGAAGAATTGAATGGATTTAGTGATTTGGAGTGAGATGGAGAGTTTGGTAAACTTGTTCTTTTCTGTTTATGCTATAGTTATCTGAAGAACTGTTACGTTAACATCCTGTTGTTCTCTGTTCTATTGTTTTTACAATAACTTGCCTTTCAAGATGAAATGTTGGTTCCTGGTCTCTGATTTTATAAGTAAAATATCCCCCAAAAACTGCGGCTTATATACGTTTTTTCTTCATTAGCTATTTTTTTGGCTGGTGTGACTTATACTCTGGAGCGACTTATAGTCCGAAAAATACAGTAATCTGATAACTCTAGTAAACAGTAAAGAAAACACATTCAAACCTCCTATAACTTTACAATGGCCATAACATGAAGCCTGATGTTGCATGTATCTGAGTATCTGCGTGTTGTTAGACAGTGGTGATCTTCTTGTCTTTCGTGGCCTGTTTGATGGCAGCCTGCTCACAGATGATCTCCTTGAGCCTCTGTAGTCGTGTGTTTTGGGTGCTCAGGTCTCCCACTCCGGTCTGACTGCGGTGGAGCAGAGACAGAGCGTTGATGTACTCCAGCTCCGTGTAGCGAACTCCTTGGTCCACCACCAGGTTCAACAGCTCATCTGCAGTGTTGTACAGCATCTCGTAGTACTGCCTGTAGGGACACAAAAGGAAGAATATTAACATAAGGAGAAGATATGAACTATTGTGTATACCGTTGATGTGAACACAGACATTTACATCGACAGTCTGGTGTAATAATAGTTTTGCTTCAGGTGTTTTGTGGAGTGGGTAAGACTGTTTTTAGTGGCAGTATAACTATGACCATTGACCTGTACTAGTCTAGCACCAGTGACCTCTGTAAATACAAGGACTGGATGGAATATTTTAAAAAGTATCTCCACATGTCTCCAACACTCTGGCTCACTAGGAAATGAGGTCCTATGTCCAAAATTCTGAACTGTCCCTTTGACATAGCCAAGGTTATTTGTATAATACAATTTGTACACAAAGTAATTTAAAGTGGAATAAGAAAGACATTAACTTAAATAATCATCATAAAATTAACTTAATTAAAGGTACATTGTGCATCTTTTCTGGTGGAGGGTCTTTCACCTGCTTGTTTCTATGGAAAGGTCATTGCTCTGCCTAGAATGTTCCACAGTATGACATTAAACAGCTCGACTTTACATTTATTCAATTACAGGTGGTTTTAGAGCTCAAAAACACCTAAAAAACATTCAGTCTGACTGTGAGCGGGGGTGCCTCTCCACAGATCTGACCTGTAACTTCTGGTCTGGTTTAGTCTTTATGAAGATGGAAAGGTTTAACGCCATACTGTGAAACATTCCAGACAAAGCAATAACATCTCCATGACGACCAGAAAGTTACACAATTCACCTTTAAAAAAAAAAAAAAAAAAACACCATTAGTTTAGTAACAAATTTTTTGTGTGTGATTTAATGTTTACTTTAACTTTAAAAACAGCACTGAAAAAAGCTTTGCAGTAGCTAGTATCTTGAGAATACATATTCTTCTTTATAACCTATATGATGATTTAATATTATTTTCCAAAAAAGGCAGTTTAAGCAGTAATTTAGCTCCCAGCCTCGTTTCCATGTGAGCCATTTTGTGACATTCGCAGTATTCAGCTCGAGGGTCAGAAATGTTGGCCCTAGGGATGTTAATCAATCATGCTTGTACCATAAAAGTGAACAAGTGGGCACTTTTTTAATCCTTAACAACTCCACTATGCTGAATGTTCCACAGTGTGACATTAAACAGCTCTAACTTACATTTATTCAATTACAGTTGGTTTTATAGCTCAAAAACACCTTAAAAATGGGCATTCTGACTGTAAACGGGGTCGCCTCTCCACAGATCTGACCTGTAACTTGGTCAGGTTTGGTCTCCATGACAATAGAAAGGTTTATTATCTTAATGTGAAACATTCCAGACAAAGCAATAACATGTCCATGGAGAAAAGCGTCTGACAAGAGCCTCCACCGGAAACGTTACACAATGCAGCTTTAAAGGAGAACAGAGAAGAGATAAATGGTAAAACATGACGTTAGTGTTGCTTGGGACTTTGTATTACCACTAGAGTAAGTATATATAGACTTTAGAGCGCGTTATGATGGATTAATAAACGTAAGTCTTTCCAGTGGGAGCAAACAGAGCCCACTACATCACCGCTGTCACTGTCAAACCCAATTTCTTTAAAAGGGCCTCTCCAGCTGCTGTGGGGACACTCACCAGCACAAACCACTCACTGCACAAAGCACTCAGAGCATTTTAATGAAACTGGGGCCAAAACTAAACAGAAACAAAGGTACAGAAGGTCCAGAATTACTGACTCTTTAACCAGACCCTGAAGCCACCACGGGGCTCTTAAAATGACCTTGAAAAATGTGCTGAGCAGAAGTGGGTCGTGTGGTTTAAACGAGAAGTAAGAGGTCTGTGTTGATTAAAATATAGTCAAGTCGAAAGAGTACAAGTACAACTGCTACTGCTAATACTACTGCTACTGCTACTACTACTACTACTACTGCTACTGCAACTACTACTGCTACTGCAACTACTACTGCTACCACTACTGCTGCTGCTACTACTATTAATACTACTGCTACTACTACTACTGCTACTGTTACAGCTACAGCTAGTACTACTCCTATAACTACTACTGCTACTACTACTACTACTACTACTACTGCTACTGCTACTACTACTGCTACCACTACTACTGCTGCTGCTACTGCTACTTAATACTACTGCTACTACTACTACTGCTACTGTTACTGCTACAGCTAGTACTACTACTACTACTAACTACTACTGCTACTACTTACTACTGCTACTACTACTACTTGCTACTACATCTGCTACTGCTGTTATTACTGCTAATATTACTACTACCGACAATACTGCTACTACTGCTAATACTATGACTACTACTACTGCTACTACTGCTGCTGCTGCTACTACTACTACTACTACTACTACTACTGCTGCTAATACTACCATTACTGCTACTACTACTACTGCTGCTACTGCTGTTACTACTACTACTACTGCTACTACAACTACTACTACAACAACTACTACTACTGCTAATACTACCATTACTGCTACTACTACTACTACTACTACTGCTACTGCTGTTACTACTGCTAATACTACTACTGCTAAGGCTACTACTACTGCTACTACTACTACTACTACTACAACTACTACTACTACTACTACTACTACTACTACTACTACTACTACTGCTACTGCTACTACTACTACTACTACTAACTACTACAACTACTACTACTACTAACTACTACTGCTGCTGCTGCTGCTGCTGTTGTTACTACTGCTACTGGAACAATATTAACTGCACTTTATTAATTAAACAAAACACAACTCTGGGTACAACATTATAACAAAGATCAGAAAATAATAGCATAATACGAGCCCTTTAACACTCAAACATAAATAAATAAAAGCGTTAAAAAGTTACTCGCTATAGAAATGTCGTTCAAAATCCCCGTGTGGATGTGAACACGCGCTGTGCTTTATTGCAGCGGCTTGTGTGGCTCTCTGAAGAATGGATGTACTGAATATTGTGTTATCTATGAAATAGTGTTTGGATATTTCACCATTTTGGGACAATAAGGGCCCATCTTATCTTATCAGACGAGCATTCAAAAGGAACAGTGAAGGCTGTGATCTGCATAAGGAGAGCAGAGTTTTCCCTCTCCGTGATGAGACGTGCCCTTGGTCCGATCTGCATTTACATTCTGCTCTATTCACAGCTCCGTGTCTCTCCAAGGCCTGCGCTCCTCTGTCCTCCAGCTCAATACAGAAAATACATGTGAAAAATCAGACTGGTGAGAGAGAGAGGTCGCCCGGGTTCACTGTTTAACCGGGGGCAAAACTGACTGTAAAACTGTAATGAAATAAAATAAAAAATGGAGCAAAAATATGACTCAAATCAGGCTGAGCTAGAAACCGTAATTGAAATTATGATGATGGAATAAATTAAAACAGCAAACATGTGGGTTAAGGAGGTGTTAGGCTTTTCAAAATCCACATATTGATAAAGATGGATAAGGATTTTTTTAAATAAAGTAATAAATATGGTTTGCAATTTTAGTTTAATGAACATCAAATCAGTATCATTTCATTTAGAAGAGTCCAATTTCTTTCAAAAGTCTGAACCCTGCTGCACATGATTTTAATGAAGTGATTGGTTGTGGACTTCTCAATAAAAAAATAAAATAAAAAAATAAATGCTGATTAAAAAAAAATTGCTTGCAGCACCAGATCTTGTCAAATCCCAGTCACCAATTTGGTTGCCACTACAGCACAGTGATACTCAAGATTTTCAGCTCTAAACCAAGTCTAAACTAGGTCTAAACCAGATCTAAACCAAGTCTAAACCAGGTCTACATTTTGCATAAACCAGGTCTACACCAGGCAAGGCAAGGCAAGTTTATTTGTATAGCACAATTCGTACACAAAGTAATTCAAAGTGCACACAAAATAATTCAAAGGTCTACCAGGTTTAAATCAGGCATATAGCAGGTCTGGACCAGATCTAAACCAAGTCTAAACCAGGTCTAAACCAGGTCTAAACCAGGTCTGAACCAAGACTAAACCAGGTCTAAATTAGGCATAAATCAGGTCAAAACCAGATCTAAACCAGCTCTAAACTAGATCTGAACTAGGTCTGAACTAGGTCTGAACTAGGTCTACACCAGGTCTAAACCAAGTCTAAACCAGCTCTAAACAAGGTCTAAACTAGATTTAAACCATCTCTAAACCAGGTCTACATCAGGTCTAAACCCGGCATAAATCAGGTCTAAACCAGATCTAAACCAGGTCTAAACTAGGTTCAAACCAGGTCTGAACCAAGTCTAAACCAGGTCTAAACCAGGTCTACATTAGGCATAAACCAGGTCTACACCAGGTCTAAACCCGGCATAAATCAGGTCTAAACCAGATCTAAACCAAGTATAAACTACGTCTAAACCAGGTCTGAACCAGGCATAAACCAGGTCTAAACTAGGTCTGACCTAGGTCTACACCAGGTCTAAACCAAGTCTAAACCAGCTCTAAACCAGGTCTAAACCAAATCTAAACTAGGTCTAAACCAGGTCTAAACCAGATCTAAACAAGGCCTACTTCAAGTCTAAATCAGGCCTAAAGCAGGTCTAACCCAAGTCTAATCCAAGTCTAATCCAAGTCTAAACCAGCTCTAAACCAGATCTAAACCAGATCTAAACCAGGTCTAAATTAGGTCCAAATCAGGTCTAAACCAGGTCTTACATTAGGACTATACCGGGCCTAAAATGTGAACACTATTGCTTCAGAGGTTCTAAACAGGCACTAATATAAAGTAGGATAATAATGTGTATAGTACTCCACAAGTACAACAAAAGTAAATTCAGGCTGAAGATTGATGCAGATTTTGGCAAAAGCAGCAGCAGCAGCGAGGACTGAACCGTCAACCTTTAGTATTAAATTCCTGAAGTGAGCTCTTGAAATGAAATAAAAACATCTCAAAATATGACTTTGTATGCTTTGTACGAGGCATTTAAACTCTCATCACATCAGCTAATGGAAAGTGAAAAGGAAAGCCAAATTACACCTCTTAACCAGGGG